TAAAACATCATAAACATAGGTTAGGAAGTAACTTTTGTCAGAGAGAGTGTGTTAGCATGCTAAAGTTAGCCTTTAGTTTAAAGCACTGATATGTATAAGAGTCAGAGCTGCTGGCAGGCTGTATTACTATTTGTCAACTATAACTGGTATTTTTTAAGACAGTGTTATCTTCTGTCTTATATCATGAAGTTAAGAGCAGTCTTTTTTTGCTCTACAGTGTCCTTTCTACCATGAAACAATGGCTCCAGTTAATGACCCATGGCACACAATGCAGAGGTCATTAGATGCTGCTGATTTACTGCTATCAGCAGACACACTGATTTTGATTGGTTTACTTACTTCATACTTATAACCTTAAAAATGTTTAAATGACGTGACTGTATTTTACAATGAAATACATCACCCTCAAACCTTGGTTAACCTGCATGTGTTGCAATTCTCTCCTTATCTTTTCTCCAGGTACTGACCCTGTTGATAAACTCAGCATACAAACCCAGTCGTGTGCTGAGGGAGTTGCAGCTGGACCAGGAGAGCCGCTGGCAAGGCCATGGAGAGACACTCAAAGCCAAGTGAGGGGAAACGCTATTAAATCCCTAGCACAAAATTCTCTGCTCTATAGAAAGCCTACAGGAATGGGAGAGTTATCAGATGGCCTATTGTGGTACAAATGCTGGAATTAACAAGTACTTGAAAGCACGAATGGATTTAAATATCACTAAGCATAACCAAAAACTCCCAAAGTAGGCTAATTAGTCAGGGCAGTTGGATATGATTTTCCTCTTTTTATGAAAATCTGCCTGGAACTTTTTTAAACGTAATATTGTGTAGAAATATAGACATTATACTATTTATTTACCCTTTAATCGTCTTTGTCAGGTACAAGGGAAAGAGTTACCGGGCCACGGTGGAAATAGTTCGCACTGCAGACCGCGTAGCAGACTTCTGCAGGAAAACTTGCATCAAATTGGAGTGCTGTCCCAACCTGTTTGGACCTCGTATGGTTCTAGACCACTGCTCAGAGAACTGCTCTGTCCTCACCAAGACCAAATACAGTAAGTCCTTTACAGAACTGGTGAACACTGATTGATGAGGCTTCAAAAATGCATTCAAAGCTCTGAGGAGGATGCTTTGTTATCGAGAGGCAGTGAACACAACCTCTGTGCCATGATTCATCTTGTAATAACCTAGAAATGTACACTTGATGTCAGAAGGCATCTTAAATCTAAGCACTATTCAATCTATTTTTATTTGTATAGTGCCAATTTACAAAAAAATGTTATCCCAATACACTTTTAAAAAGGGCAGACCTAGACCTAACTGTTTATCAGTATTATTTACAGAGACATTAATTCACAATGAGCAAAGCACTTAGCAACATTTAGCAAAGTAACAGGCGAGGAGATAACTGCCGTCCGCCTCAAACTTGCTGTCGTTGAACATGTGGCTTGTCCATTCTACTTTTTCAGCAACTCAGCAACGTGAATAGAAAAGATCAATGAGTACACAATTGTTCCCCTAATGAATACAGAATTTCTCTGAAGCAGAGGGATAGACTTTGATAGAGCTTTTGCTGGAATCGAACAAGCTGAACTATTTCCACAGCAGAAAGTCACAGATTAGCTTCTGCACTACAGTTTTAAGTTTCAGAAAGTGATGCAATTTGATAGCAACAGTTGACTGTTTACACTTTCTCTTTCATCTGTTTCATGTTCCAATCACCCTAGACAACACATATCCTCCTTGTTGTTCCAGCCTATTTGTCAACACTGTGACTTTTTAGAAAATTATAAAAATCCATCAGATTTGTTCAATTCAATTTTTAGATCAGTATGTCTCTCTGATATACGATGTTTTTTCATACCTGTCAAATGAAACATTCCACAATTGGCCTGCATTTTCCCCAGCATATTACTATGGAAAGAAGAAGAGTAAACGTGTGGGCCGTCCACCAGGTGGCCACTCCAACCTCGAGGGCGGAGTGAAAAGAAGAGGCAGGAGGAGGAAGAGGAGGAAGCAGCTCTTTGTGCATAAGAAGAGGCGATCCTCGGCGTCAGTAGACAACACCCCCGCGGGATCTCCTCAGGTAACACACTTGCTCTTTTCATCAATGATTCTATCGTTCTTTGCACGAAATGTTGCTGATAAGCGGTTGTCATCCTGGCACACAGGGCAGTGGAGAGGAAGAAGATCTGGATGAAGACGACTCGCTGAGTGAAGACTCTGGCTCAGAGCTGCAGGACGATCTTCAAGATGATTCTGAACAATCGTTTGGGAAGTCTCAGCCCACCACTCCGTCCCCTTCTCCTCCAGCAACACCCAGGCCCAGCCGCCGGCGTCGGAAACCCCGCTCACCCTCATTCTCTGATGATGAGAACAGACCTCCTTCACCAAAGGTAAGGAGTGTCATTTTATAGATACAGAATGTGTACATCAATTAAATAATCTATTGTTTATTATTAGGAAATGTGTTCATAATCCCAGCCTATTGGCCCTACCTTAAACCAAAAACAACTTCCTCTCTGTGCCTAATCCATTTCAGTAAGATTTTGAATCATAGTTGTACTCTGCCCTGAACTTCCTTTAAGCAGTTTGAGGGAATAAACCAGAATTAAATGATCACTGTTTCTTTTGTGAAATGTCCTACTCAGCATAAATTCTGCAGCTTTGAATGAGGTATGAGCTTTTCCCACTCAGCTCTGAGGTCTCACATAGTCTCCGTCTGACCCGCTCTGTCTGTGTGTTTATAGACCTCAAAGACTGAGCCCCCTCAGAAATTGTGTTTGGACACAAGCCCCCTGGAGTGGAGCGTTACTGATGTGGTTCGCTTCATCAGGACCACCGACTGTGCACCTCTTGCACGGATTTTCTTGGATCAAGTAAGAAATGCTCACATGCTTGATAACCATTTAGGATGAGAGCTCGCATTAATGTAACAAGGGCAACATATTCTTGTATTGTATCCATGGTCACAGATTTAAAAAAAAGAGCATTTCATATACAATGAAAGAAACGCTTGACTTACTGTATGTTTTGTTTTTATAGGAGATTGACGGGCAGGCGCTGCTGTTGCTGAACCTCCCAACAGTGCAGGAGTGTATGGACCTGAAGCTGGGACCAGCAATCAAGCTGTGCCACCACATTGAAAGAGTCAAGCTGGCATTTTATCAACAGTTCGCCACGTAGCTGACGGGGAAGGAACAGGGACTTGATCACATCCTGACCTGTTTAATAATCCTGTGACATAACACTGTATTTTCATCAATCTGGCTTTTATAACATTGGACCTCCTTAACGATCCTCACACCACGTCACGTCCGAGAAGACAAGTTTCTGTCACTTGGAAAATTAACAAAGAAAACAGAGGACCTTCATAGGATCAAAAAAAGTTCAGGTGCTCTTCAGCAAAGGCACAAGGGGGGACTGGAAAAACAAAAGAATTCAAGAAAATGTTATGCCATAAAGTGTAATGCATTGATTAAATCCATTCAATAACAATGCAAAAACAAAGCCCTTATAAAGGCCTTGCATTCACACACATGAAACACTTTTGTTTCCAGCTTGGTTTTAAAAAAAAAGGTGTTTTAAATTATGTGACTGCTGAGATAATTCTCGTGTTTTTAATACGATAATTCCCTTCCTGTTTCTTTAGGGGGAATAGTGACTAAGCACCCGTTCTAAAACTACATCCTAATGCTCTGTGTTTTTATGATGTTCAGTCTGCACTTCTGTCTGTCAAAGCTAATACCTCTACATACTAAGATCTATCATATTTGTGTCTTGTCAACATTTGCCATTATCTTCCGCTGTCAAAATTGAAGTAATCTTGCTCAAATCTGGTGAAGTATAGTTTTGCTTTAAAAAATGGGCAATGTTAGTGGTGCAGGAACACAGTGTATATCAACTTACCTACACTGAAGAACTTCATCACATTGTTTTCACAATATTCCTGTGTAGGAACAACAGATTTGGAGCCATTGTCTTATAGGTTTCTTGGTTTAAGACAGTCAATCATTTCTCAAACAGCACCCAAAGATGAAGCAAAGACTGAAGTAGTTGAAACACAAAAGAAAATGTTTAATTAATGCATTTTGCCTATTTCTGAAAGCCTGAGGTAGTATTCAACTATATATACTACTAATATATTCCAACAAACAGTCATAGTGAATTGTTGCATGAAAGCAGTCTGAGTTTAGTTTGAACATTAAATATTTAAACTGCACTCATCACACCATTTGCACACATCGTGCTGTAGTAAGATATAATTTCCTTTACAGTTGCAAAGAGGTCCATTTTCTAAAGCAATCAAATAGCGTTCTTGTTCAAGCTTCTACAATGTGTAAGAGCTGTTACAGTTTACATTGATTCTGTATGAAAGCACAAGAAAACCATGTACTGTATGGTTTTATGCAAATAACTGCATGTTTGTATATAGTGTATATAATCGAATGTCTTCTAGTGCAACAGGGTGATCAGAAAGAAAAAAAAATATTGAGCAAATAACTTTCAGCATAAGCAATGTGTAAATCTTAAACATACAGTATATTTGCACACAATAGACTTAAACTTTCTCATATGGAGATATAGTTTGAACAAATTCAGCTACAGTGGATTTCTTGAGCCGTTTCATATCATTGAATTGTCATTATTTTAACAGTAACCTTAAATTAAAGTTTAAAGCTAGAGGATATTCTTAAATTGACTTTTTGTAAAGCAATTTTTGTTCCATTTGTTCTCCAGGTCCCGTAATAAGTGTGGTTTTCTGTCATGTGCATCATTTTGTGCGAGTAAAACCTCTGTAGGCTGTTTGTCAGCTCATTAGCTTGTGGTTCCCGCTGTACTCAAAGCAATGAGACACTTTTTTATTTCCTGTTGAATTATTATAAGAGCTATCGAAACAAAGATGTCGAATAAAAAAAAAAATCTGAACAATTACTTGTATGCGCTTGTGATTGCAATACATTTCCCAGCATGCAGTTTGTTGTTACGTAGGTCACATGACGCTACGTCTGTCAACATGAGTGGGCACGGTTGGGCAGCGAAGCAGCTGGATGGACGCGAGCGGTGACCTGCAGATCTTGTACATCTTTTATACACGGACGAGCCGCCTTTGCATGTTTAACAGTTAAGAGAACTATTGCACACAGTTTACAACGTTTAAACGGAAACCTGCGCATTTATAAGCCTAATGTTATCTTAATAAACTGACTAGTTAGCTTGGATGCTAGCTAGGTAAATAGCATCTCATCCGCTGGATCGCCTTTTAACTCTGCACCTTCGTCTGTCCGAGTAATTTTAAGTTCTCAGTGATTTGCCTGCAATGTACAATATACTGAAAATAACTTTAAAACACTGGTTTTGTCTTTTTGAGTAGCTGTATAACACATTTAGCTGGTGTGGTCTTTACTAGTGTTAGCTTCCAGCTCGAGCAATACATGTTTCTTTCTGCTACACAGACCTTCTTAACCAGGTTCATTTTTAACGTGACAGCTCGACTTTAAAGTACGCAAACGAGTCCGATACAGCCGTGCAATACTTGAGCTGAACTTCTACTAATCTCATTGAGTTAACACTTCTTTTGTGCTAAACCAGCTATGGCTGTGTGGGTGCCTGAAGCAGGAGAATGAGTCCGCGCTTTGAGGGGAGACTATGCCACCATCCTTCACCGGAGACTGTTCGGTTTAACATATCGATTAGCTGACCAGCAACTGCTTGGTAGGAATAGTGAAGTCTGTGTGAGAAGCTACTGCTATCGGCTGTATTAGCTACCAGCTCTTCTGGCCAATGGAAGCTGTAAGCGGTGTCAACATGCCGTCCCAGCTCGCTGACATGGCACTAGCAGGTCCAGGAGGAGCAGGGCTGCAAGCTGTGCCCCTCACCAACACGTCGGCCCCCTCCAGCACGACACCAGGTACTGATACCAGAGGGTGCGAGAATGGTGCTTTGATGGACTCGTTTGGGATTTTCCTGCAAGGTCTCCTCGCTGTGGTGGCTTTCAGCACGCTGATGTGTAAGTATGGCTCAAAGTCTGCTTTTTGTCTGATATCTGACCCCCAGCTAGTGATGGACCCAGACTCTCATCCAATAGCATCACTTGGTTAATCAGATGTCAAATTGATCCCAGCTGGGATGCTCACGTCTGGGACGATAACAGGCAAAGACAAATAAGAAGAAAAAACAAAAGGCTGTCTATATCTCTTGTAAAACTTAATTCATTGTTACCGTACAGCTGCTGACTTATTCTCTTGTTGAAGTAGCTCATGGTGGCATTAATAAAAGCTGCTTACTCTCTTCATTTCCCGGCAAACACAATGTCATAAAGAAAGGGGAGTTTTTGCACAGTAGAAGTCTGTTTACATTAATTATGTGTTATGGGCATTTAGGCAAACTGCATCAATGCCATCAGGTTCAACAGTTACTAAATATAACATGCAGCTGCTTTACATTACAAAACAAAATCTCTCTAAATGGACTAAATAACACCTTATCTGCAACGTGTGCACCATACTTTACAAATGCTATACTGTGATGATAATCCACCGCTGCAAGACTAAATATAAAACAATGCACACCATTTTGCTACAAGCACATGGATTTTTTTGGAGGAAGGAATTAATCTACACTAGACATCACAACTATATAAACAGAGACAAGAAAATATGACTAGTCATATCCCGCACTCGGCTTCACCTGTATACAACAGTGTGAACTGTGAAGAAAGCCACACTCTTTCCTTTTGCCACATCCTACCTGTGTGAGAGATGTTTTCCTGCAGTTGACTCTCAATTGAACACAAAATACAAAGCTGGACATTGAAAATGAAATTAGAGTTACTAGTCTCACAGCTGCACTCCAGAGAAGATTCTGTAGCACAAAACAAGCCCAAACTCGTCATTGAAATTATTGCCTGGAAATTAAGACTGGAAGCATGATTCCTAAAAACAAGTTTTTCATCTGTTTTTATATTGTTAGGAAGAGGTTCATCTTCGGAGAGTGAGTTTTATAGCAGTGACTGTTGTTGCGTCTTGAAAATGTTGAAGTTTCATGTTGCAGTATCACTTTCCATTGTTTCCTGTCTAAAAGCTGTATGTTAGTTTTCAGTTTGTTGTCACTCTGAAGTTGCTATTTTGTTCTTTTTGGAGACAATGTTTGAGATAAAATCTTCAGATATAGGACATTGTTAAAAAGGAGTGGACTGGCAAAGTTAAGTTGTATTTTGGGGGACATTTTTGCCTTTACTGGACTGGACAGCTGTAGAGAGACAGGAAATGCTGAGAGGTTGGGGGACGACATTCAGCAAAAGGGCTGAGGTCAGATTTGTACCAACAGTCGCTGCGACAAGGACTACAGCCTCTGTACATGAGGCGCGCCACGTAACCACAAGGCTAGCCGACACCCTTGATGAGTGTACATTGGTATATTTTTATGTGTATAATAGTGAGGGGATGGTGGTGGTGGGGGGTTGAAGATATTGTAATCTGCCAAAGGGGGGGCCTGGAAGAAAAAGGTTGGTAAATGTTAAGCAATGGTTCCATTTAGTTAATGTCTGGCTCAGCGCTGACAACTGTGTGACCTAATGAGAGTAGCCTCTGTTTTGTTTGTCCCAGCAGCCTCAAAGCAGTGAGGAATGTTCAGCATTTTAGTGTTTGAGTTTGAGCAGAAGGAGTAGGCCAAGGCCTCCGCCTGCATCCACATCACACCCAGCTGCAAGCAGGGTGCGTTTAGTCTGAAGTCACACTTGTGCTCAGAGCAAAAACTGAGGTCACAAATCGCAAAATGACTTGCCTACATGAATGCATGGAAGGCCTGGAAAATGTTTGAACACTATAATGTTTGTCAGTCTTTAATGTGATTTCTGTACAGTCTTTATACAGCTTTGAGAAATGTATTTAGTCTGTGTCTAATGGAAGAAAAGTAAGTCACTGAAATCATGATAAAACTGCTCTCTTCTGTCACTCTGTGTCAAAGGAAGATGGTAGTGGTTTCATAGAAAACAAGTCGCCTATTGTAGTGAACAGCAAGAGCTTTATTTGTATTAGACATGTCACTGCATTCAATGTTTAGCCTTCCTGCACAGCACATTAAAGTACTTTTACACACACTATTAAAAACATGACTTAGACACCTCAGAGTAGCTGTCACATTGGCATGCCAATGTATTAGTTAACATGTTGCTACTGCAGATCTGGACTCTTTCAAATGAATTTAGAACCTTGTCCTCTTCTGCTTTTTGGCCATTTTGAAAGGAAAGTTTTGCTTCTCTCTCTGAACTTACCAATGAGTTGAAAATCAGCTATCATATTAATCATTATAAAGCACATGCTGCATGTGTTAGCAGGTTTTAGTTAATGGTTATGACAACTTCTTCCATTTCCTCTGTGACACCATGTTGTCTTTGCTCTTTTCTTCTTTAAAAAAAAAAAAGTCATTCAAACAGATCCAGCACTCACTTTAAGGCAAATATCCTCTTTATAGCTCAATGAAAAAAACATTTGTCTCCTTTGTGTGTCAACTCATGTCATGTTCAACTGCACAAAAGGAAGATTTCTTGAGCTCAAATTTACAAGTGTGTCTGTACAAGGCAGTCAATTTTTTCAGTTGGACCAAACAAAACAAACAAACAAATAACCCATATTTAAATTGCTCATTGGTCTTTTGACAGCTAACTGAAGGGTTGTGACTTTGCTAAATTAAAGCAAAGGTGATTCTGTTAAGTTGTTTCTGTTTTCCTCCCTTTGTGAGTGATGTGCATTGAAATCTCAATATCTCTGTTGCACACCCATTCCTCCACAGTGAAACGCTTCAGGGAGCCGAAACACGAGCGGAGACCCTGGAAGATCTGGTAAAACAACTGAGCAGGCTTGAATTCATAACTTAAAGGCCTCAAATGTGAATCGCTCAGGAGCGCTTCATCAGCTGTCCTTTTTCTCTGCAGGTTCCTGGACACTTCAAAACAGGCCATCGGGATGCTGTTTATCCACTTTGCTAATGTCTACCTGTCGGACCTCACAGAGGAGGATCCCTGCTCATTGTAAGTCAATCTTTTCTTTATCTGTTGTTATCGACACACAGATATACCTTCCTTTGAGACCTGAGGACCCTAGGAGCCTAGCTGCTGTCAGAAACTGCCTAAACGATATCAACTGCTGGATGGCGCAAAACTTTCTCCAACTGAACAATTCTAAATCTGAAATCATAGTATTCAACCCGCCAAACACCACTCATATCTCAAAGAGCAGCCTCGGTCCCTTATTCACCAATGTCCAACCCACCGCCAGAAATCTAGGAGTAACATTCGATTGCAATCTCACCTTTGAATCCCATATCAAAACAGTTGTCCGATCAAGCTTCTTCCATCTACGCACCATCTCCAAAATTAAAACAATCCTAACCCAACGAGACCTTGAAAAGATCATCCACGCCCTCATCTTCTCCCGACTTGACTACTGTAACTCCCTCTTTTCCGGAATCACAAATAAGTCACTGTCTCGCCTCCAGCTGGTCCAAAATGCAGCAGCTAGGCTTCTTACTGGTTGTAACAGACGACATCACATCACTCCAATTTTAGCTTCATTACACTGGCTTCCTGTACGTTCTAGAATCGATTTTAAGATTTTACTCATTACTTTTAAAGCACGGACGGGGCTGGCTCCAAGCTATATAACAGAGCTACTGACACCATATGAGCCAGCCCGCAGTCTTAGATCCTCGGGTGGGAGCCTCCTGGTCATTCCGAAGTCGAGACTAAAAACTAAAGGTGACCGGGCCTTTTCAGTCAGGGCCCCTCGACTTTGGAACGACCTCCCTGAGGAGATAAGACTCGCAGACTCCCTCAATTCCTTTAAATCCCTTCTTAAAACATACTTTTACAGACTTGCTTTTATGTGATGTCGTCTTCTTAATGTCTTCTCTTACTGGTTTTACTATTTTTATCTTCTTCTACTTCTTACTGTCTTTTATTTATGGTCTTATCTCGTATTTATGCTCATATCTTAATCTCCTCTTGTGTTTTAACTTGGTAATTTCTTATCTTACTTACTTTGTCTATTTATGTTTCGTATTTATAGTTAATTTTAATTTTTATTAATATTATAGTTTTGGGTTTTTTGATCCTTTAACCACTTGTTTTTATTTCCTTTACTGCGCTTACCTTCTCATTGCTTTTTATTTGCTTTTATCTCTTAGTTTCTTACATCTTTTTAAATCTTTGGTCCTCTTGGTCTCAGCTCATGTTGTTGGGTTCTTGTGTTCCTGGGTTCTTATGATGGTTCTTATGATGGTTGGGTTATATATGTCTGGTTGTGTATCGTGCACTTTGGGTTCTTTTCTGTTGAATTGTTTTTAATTATTTTTGGTATTTTGCATCTGTTATATTCTTACTGTTGTTAATGTTTTCTGTGTTTGGTTTAGTTTGCTTTGTTCTTGCTGTTTGTCAAAGCACTTTGTAAACCTGTGTTTTTAAAAGGTGCTATATAAATAAAGTTATTATTATTATTATTATTATTATTATCATGTTGCTAAAAGATTGCCAAAAAATACAGTATGTGACAATGAAAGGAAGCGCTAAGTGCAGTTTCAAATAACATCCCCTTGTCTTTCTCTCTCAGATACCTCATTAACTTCCTGTTGGATGCTTCTCTGGGTATGCTGATCATCTATGCTGGGGTGAGAGCCGTCAGTGTAATTGTAGAGTGGAGGCAGTGGGAGTCTCTACGATTTGGAGAATATGGTGAGGACTATGTGTGTGAGTTGGTAAAGTGAGAGTTCAGGATAGTCATGAAATACCTGTAATGCCCAATAGAGGGCAGTAACTGCCCTCAGAACAGCTACAATGTCATTTCTAACGCTGCCTGTTCACTCTTTTGTCCCCAAACCTGTTTGTGTTACTCTGAGGCAGTGAAATCAAATAATGTTCTGTACTTACATAACTGAATACTTCAGCTTTTTTTAAACCAAATTATTCCTCTCATTGTGCGTGTGCGTGTGTGTGTGTGTGTGTGTGTCCAGGAGAGCCAGTGCATTGCACAGCGTGGTTGGGCCAGTGTATCCTCTACATCCTCATCATGATGTTTGAGAAGGTCCTCATTATGCTCGTCCTCCTCATACCCCAGTGGAAGCAGGTCAGAAGAAAAGATTGACCATTCACAACATATCCAATTCAATTATTGTCATTGTTATGTTGTTGTTGTTTTTTTTCCTTGAGTTGAATTCTTAAAATGTAAAGTATTTCAAAACCCTTTTGCAGCAATGTTTAACCTAGTATTTGAAAATATTAAAAAACATAGCAGCCTGCATCTCACTCCCCATACGTCTCCAGTCCCCTCCAGTATTTGTTTTGTTTTGTTGCCATTTGAAAATATTGGCAGGTTCTGTGTTGGCTTGTTGTGGATGCAGAGGATCATTTAAAAAACCAAACCATGTTTGTGTTACCACAAAGCTTTCATTTACAACAACTTATCTAGCAAACAACAGAATCATAATTTCTTCATGACACAGCTTTCGAAAATCTGAAATCATCACATCTGTAGAAGAGTACCAATGATTACTCTTTCTGATGTTGTTTGTTAGTTTCTGTCAGAGCCCACTTCCTGTTTAATAGGGTCTTACTGCCCTCGCAGATTTTTGAAGCTGCTAGTCTAAAGACTTGGTGTGCCGTCTGTGTTGCTTCTTTGTATGCTGATGTCTGCTCTTGTGTGTATATGTGGTATGTGTTTGTGCTTGTGTTGCAGCTGGCACTCCTAAACCCCATACAGAATCCTGCCCTGGAACTGGCCATCGTAATGCTCATCGTCCCATTCTTCGTTAACGTAAGTCTGCTGTCACTGTTTTTTCTTTGCTCTCTAATTTCATGTATCCAGTGAGATTTTTGTCATTCCTAAATCATCCCCTCTGTCCATACTATAGTTATGTTGTGTTGTATAGTTGTGTTATGTGTCTAAAAGAAATGAAAGATCTCCTCGGATTTGGTGACTTATTTAAAATATTACTTGTATCTCCTGATTTGCAGGCTCTCATGTTCTGGGTAGTAGATAATTTTCTGATGAAGAAGCACAGGACAAAAGCAAAACTAGAGGAAAGAGAGGAGGACTCGCGGGGGAACAGCAAGGTGCGCTACAGACGAGCTCTGTCCCATGATGATTCCGAATCGGAGGTAAGACTCACTGCTGTTACCCACCTGTAAGACACACAAGGGATAAGAAAGGAAGATCAGCTTATCAATGTCTGATTGTTTCCTTAAAACCATTCAAAAGTTTGTGATCAAATGTAATATTGATGTTTTTCTCCTTTCCATATTCATTTTATTTTATTTTCAATCATTTCACTAAATTTACATTTTTAGTTCTTTTTTAACTTAGAGAAATATTTTGGGAACTCGTTGTTCTGTGTGCAAACCCATACAATGTCTCCTGTTTGTAAAGACGACTTGACACACACTTACAGCATGAAAGACCTACGAAAATACAGAGTAGTCCTCTCAGACTGTCTGGACTGATTCAAGCTTATGTGGCAGAGAATCCCAAACACTTCAAAGTTGTAGGGAATCCGATTTATTTACTGACGCAGACACAGTGCATGTTCATCTACACAGAAGTTCCACACAGCGTCTCTTGTCTCTGCCTTTGGTCCACTTTGAAATGAATCCCAGTATGACATAATCGGTTGGCCGTTAGCTCTTTCTGGTCTCCAGCTCTGATTGGCATCTTTTTATGGACAAACTGACTTGGTACTTATCCAGCACACCCTCAGTCTGAGTAGCCTTTGCTAGTGTTGTCTATAATATGGTTTCCCAGTTACCTAACAAGCTTGTAAACAGATGAGCCCAACGCAGAGCTCTGCTCCACACACACCACATACCAGTTATTCATCCACATGTCATTACAGCAGTCTGTTAAAAGCACATTTTCAGCGCATTTACCGGCAAACCTATTTAAAGAGACAGGCCCATGATTTCTTACAGCAATTTGGTTTGTTGTTTACATGTAAGAAGCTCCTGAATTCTGTAACACTACAAGATGTCTGATAAAGACAATTTCATAAACGGTGTTCCCTGACCGGGAATCGAACCCGGGCCGCGGCGGTGAGAGCGCCGAATCCTAACCACTAGACCACCAGGGACAGCTGTCTTTGTAACAGTATGCGGTGTCGAAACTCTTACACAAACTGCCTCCAGTAGGGCTGGTGGAGCCCAGCTGTTGGTTGTCATTTAGAACCGACAGACATCGTACGTTATTAGCAACTCAAAAGCAAATGCAGTAATAGTTTGAACTTCCATCAACGACAGGCGAATGTTAAGACACCATCACACTGTATAAATAAGACTTTTACCATACCAACTGTTTTGGATCGCAGATCTTTCTTGTTTCGTTATTAATGTCATACTTCATGCGTCATTTACTCTAAAAAAGGACACAGTAAGAGCTGTTCAGACATTTTCCTTTTTTTTTTTAATAGAATGCACCCACTGAATCATTTTGCATATTCTGAACCAAATCTTCTCTCGCAATCCCTTCAACAAATGTCTTCTTTTGTAAACACTCATTCTGATGACTTTTGCACTAGGTCCTTCAGGTTACTTGATTGTTCAACAAATGGCAGTGAGTGAATCCTAACTATTAGAATACCAGGATCATTTGTCCGATAGATTTTGAGTCTGCATAAATCAGTTCAGCTACAGAAGTTTAAAACACTATGACGTACACTTATTATACCCATTGAGTGTGTTCCATAACCAGGATCTGAACCCTGGTCGAGAAAGTGCTGAATCCTGAGCACTAGACCGTCATGGAGCTGGGACATCTAGTGGCCGATATGAGAAGTTACATTTTCGGAGGCAGAAACTCAACAATGCCCATTTCATTACAACCTGAAAGCATAGTCAACTAAATCAATCAATTAATTATCCAAAATCTGTTGTGCACAGGCAAATACATTCCTAGATTCATCACCAAGGCAACAAGCTTCAGCCAGGCTTGTCTTCTGTCAGTTTTAACTTATTCATGTTTGTGGGAAGAGCTCATAACTCAAATGAAATCCGATTGCAGGCTCTTAACCTTTAGACGATCTCCTTTAAATCAAAGATCAAACCCAGAACAAAACCCCCAAAAATATAAATTGTAACTATTTTACTCTCTTATTTTATGTCCTTTCAATGATCAAGAAAATGATCAAAATGTAGTCAATATAAATGGTGAAAAGAATATAATATATAATCAATATATACTTGATTAATTCAGGAGCAACTGGTCATGAATTGTCTCCCCGTTTGTTAAACTGATGTTGATGTCAAACTCAAACGTACTTCACTTCCCTTTTTTGAAGTGCTGTAGAACAGGCTGAGGTGACAGAAGAACATGACATATGGGTCTTCCTGTGGAGGGATAGTGAACCAGAGATCAGGAGATAAGGCCAGACAGAAGTCATAAAGATGTAATCAGGTATGCAGGTGTAGAGTTTTTAGCAGCTTATCTGTAAAGTAAAGCTGTCTTATGAGGGATTTCAGCTTTTGAATGGTCAAAGAGTTGCAGACAAAAGCCTGAGTCATGCTTGGTTTCACTTTCTGGCCGCATGCTGCTGCAGCTCGCCTCAGAGCACATGCTTTCAGCAGAACGCTGAACTGTGGGGGAAGGGCTAAGCTCTGCTCAACCGTTTATTCATTGAGCTGCAGAGAGTACATGCAGCGGGCCAGTGGCGCAATGGATAACGCGTCTGACTACGGATCAGAAGATTCTAGGTTCGACTCCTGGCTGGCTCGTCTCACTTTTTCATGCTTTGCCATTTACTTTGGTTAAACTGAAGCAGGACTGTATGTAGAATATCATAAATGACCCCCCCTGTCAGTATTTTTTTTGAGGAAACATCTGGCCATCATGTAAGTTTCACATACCAACTTAGTAAAAGGTTCTAAATCCCTCACATTCAAAAACACAAGACAACTATAGACATCAATTAACACATTTAATTTAACATTCACTGTGTATTGTGTATTCTTTTACTTTGTACTTGTTTGAGGAGTAGTAAATCCCTCAGTGCAGTAGCACAGTTTCTGTGTAAAGCTGCTGCTTCTATCCAGTCTGGGTCAGGAAGTACCTGACAGTTATTCATGTCACAAATATTTTGACTAACTCCCCAGAATATTTCACAGTTTAACTGTGAACTTTCCCTTCTACTCATCCAAATCAGCCTAATATTTTTCTGTCCCTCTATCCTGTTTTCAGATCCTTTTTTCAGCCGATGATGAAATGGATGAGTCAGATGAGGATGACGTGCGACGGCTCACTGGCCTGAAGACAGTCAAGAAGAAGAAGCTTCGAATGGGGATCCCTGTTTGACCCGTGTGCCTAGCTACACTGCTACAATAAACTTCCTCTGGTAGCTTGTCACAGGCCAGCAAAAAGTTTCCCTGTACCTCCATAGATACTGTCTCTGTCGTTCAACATTAGGATGCCTTTCGATGAAAGCAGAGAATACTGTTACTGAATTCCCTTTACTTCTGACTCCTGGAGGACCCCTGCTCGAACTGACAAGACTAGGGATTTACTTTAACACACCGGGACAACTTTTTTTTTTTTGCAGTTCACCAGGTACCTCAGAACACTGTTGGATTTCAACTTGGCACTCATGAGGCGAGTGTTATGTTTAAAGACAGTAGGAAATCTTGTCCCATTATCAAACATTATCTCGTGAAAAACTTATGCAGGTGTAACATGAAAACCTTAACACTGGTAACATACCGTTTGGCCTGAACACAGTGTGTAGGTGCAAAAAAAAAAAAAACGGTTCAAGGTGTTGAACCTCCTAACATTTCTTTTTAAAGTGATTGTATTTCCACTTGAGATTCCACGTGAATTTGTCCTGTGTTTTTCTCTTATAGAAGACAGTGTGTGTATTTGGGTTGTTGTAAGGGTGTGTACTGTTTAGAGCAGCATTACATCAGTGTTGATGCAACTCTCAACCCTTCCCAGCACAGTGACACATGTTCCTACTTCATATCTTGTATGTAATGTTACTCATGTCTATGGGAGCACATTAATGCTTGCTACAACCTTCCATTGTTATCTTCTGGCAGAGTGCTCTCAATGTTAAAAAACCTATAGGACTGCAAGCACCGCACTGCTTCAACCTCTGATATCAGCTCAACAAGGGTTGTTTGTCAGCACAAGACAGCAGTCTGGGTTTCTCTGTAATGGTTTACTGATACTTTCCAATTGTTGGTTCTTTGTCTTTTAATGTCTTCTGTCCCAATGAGGTAGTTAGTTTGTTTTATATATAAGTTTTGAGTGTTATGTTTGGGCCAAAAAGGAGACTATGCTTTTTCCAAAAGTGTTCTTGATTCCTTCACTCCAAGAGGGAGAGTGGATATGAGAAACATTTCTTGCACAATTTCTCATTTATCACTACTTTTGTCTTTCCTTTTGTTCTTGTGTGTTATTATTGTTGTAACAATAATGTGCCTGAGTTAAATGACCAGCAAGTGTTTTTTGTGTTTGTGGTTCATGTAGGTTTTGTTTGTTTGTTTTCTTTTTATCCAGAGCTCCAGATTTTCAGGCATGATGCAGCATTCAGCAGGCTCTGATGTTAAGAATGTGACCTGCATAGACCTCTAAACTGTTAAGTGACTGTGGACCAGACAGTTGGGAGAAAGTGTGTGTGTGTACGTGCACAAGTGTGTGTGTGTGTGTGTGTGTGTGTGTGTATATATACACACCTGAATGCAGCGTGGTCTGATTGAAGCATGTGTTCACGTGTGATTAATATGTGCGACTGTTGGTCTTCTTTTGAGTAAATGCGGAGTGACATAAACTGAGTTGATTATGGACCTGGTGATGATTTCATTATAATGTTTTGGCATGTTGGTAAGGAATAAATGACTGCATTTGAAAGGAGGAAAGCAGGGAATTTGGCTGCAAAAATGTATGTTACATCTCAGCTTAAGCAGGACAAAGAGGGCTTTTAGTATGCAAAGTTAAACTAGATAAATACAAATTATGGAGGTAAATTATAATTATTTGGCTTTTCCAATAAAGGATGTGATACACTACAATCTCTCAGATCTATTATTCCTATCCAAAGCTTCACTATTGTATTTATACATTAGGACTTACCCTAAGTGTCTGCGGTAAGTGATCCCTGACCAGGAATCAAACCTGGGCTGCTGAGTGAAGAGCACGGATTCTGACCACTAATGACAGGGATGTATACATTTTGTGTAAAATCAAATGGATTTTGGTTTTCAGTAAAAGGAAATGCTAAATACGTTGCTTTCACCATTTACAGCAGCGCTAACCGCATATTTAAGGAGAGTTCATTTGATATTTGAGGCCTCAGAGCTATGTAACCCAATACAGATACAACAGATTCCTACCTGTTATTTATACTTAAAAAATTACATTTTAGGGTTAGGAGTCATCTCTGCGCATCATGTCTGGGTTAATACACACATGGCAATTTTCTATGCGTGACTCATTGTTGTGGCTCTTTAGTGTCCAGGTTTTAAAAGCCACTGATGGAGCTCCAAGAACAGGTTGTTAATACCATAAAAGGGATATTTAACCAGTTAGAGAAGGTAAACACATCCATAGATGTTATCTAACTACACCCTGAACTTTGAAAGGCCTAGTAAGCACATGCACAAACATATTGTGAGACAGAATGTCATACAGTACAAACAGTGTAACTCATATTACACTGAAAGTTAAGCTACAGAGCTACTCAAATGAGCAAGTATACTTTGAGATTCTCTCAGTGTGGCTGACTGTCTTTTTAAAGTAATGAGTCAGTTTGTCCAGCGTCACCGTTAACACCTTCATTTCAGAGTCTGATGTCAGGTCTGTTGTTGACTCTGCTTTGCACCATGTCGTCTGGAGAAATTAAAAACGATTTTTTAAAGACATTGATACATTTCAGCTCTCGACTTTCTAAAACTAACCTGTAAACCAGCTGTTATTTATCTGTATATGCTTTATAGGTGATTTTTGCTATTAGTAAATGTATGTTTATATCACTCTGCCCATTGATAAAGGATCTTTTGGGGTAATGTTGTTTTGATTTGACCACAAGACTTTCTTTTGCTTTTACTCATAAGAGTATCTCATACAGGATAGTGGGATAGTTTTTAGCTCTTTCTTTGGTTCTGGCATCATCATGTTGTGTCGTTTGTAAACGGTCAGGAAATGATTTTTACAAGACCCCAAAAAGACATTCCCTTAGACTTAAATCAAGTTTTACCATGGAGGTGTTTCGAGGTGGTGTATACTCTTGACTTCCCATGAAGGGCGAGGTCCTTAATCATCATTTTAAAAGGAGGATCCTTGTGTTGTGTCTGGAATTAGCAGCTGTTGGCCTGTAAGCTTACGGTAAAAGATGGAAGTCCCATACCAGCCGTACCACCCCTCACGTCACACCTAATAATACACACTGACAACAGGCAGAGTGGAACAGAGGGTAGGGGTCTGAGTGACTCACTGGGTCTGGATCAGGATATATAACGCCACTCTTGCTAAGAGTGAAAGCAACAACACAAGAAAAAACAAACCAGGAAAAACAACCAGTGGAAGTGTTTGTGGAATCAGGACATAAACTTCACTTATCATGTCCCAGGTAAGTTACACTCGCCTAAATGTGCTGTGTTGGTTATTTACAGAGATTTAACATAGTGCATAGGTGTAACAGCAGTTTTATACAACCTTTATTTTCCTTATTTTCACCCCTAACACATACAATAATCATCCTTGTTCACTGCACTTCACCCCAGCCAGGCGAGGTAAAGAAAAAGAAGCGTCCCCCAATGAAGGAGGAGGACCTGAAAGGAGCGCGCAGTAAACTCGGACTAAAGGGCGAGGTCAAGAGTAAGACCTATGAGGTCATGGTGGAGTGTGGTAAGTAAAGGCTTTTATTAACTGACCCTGAAACAGAAGTGTGTAAAATGTCTGGGACTTTCGTTTTTATTGCCTTTCCTTATGTACAATTGTTACTTTTCTGGATTTAAGAAATGGTGTATTTTATTCCTGCTTGGCCTGTAGACCTGAAAGACCTTATAAAAAGCTTTAAAAAAAAAAAAAATGTTATGTCCCTTTGGCCCCCCTGTGAGCAAAGAGTAAATCCTTTCTCTATACTGATCTAGTCCTAAATGTGTAAGCGGTGTCTTCTCGCTGCTTTCTTTTAAATGTCTAATCTGCAACTCACAATACATCCCTAGCATGGACAGTTTTTTGAAAGATGATCCTGCAGCGTGCTGTTAAGTGTCCCTCACCTGACATCTACCCCGTGGCAGTGAGATAGGCATACACAATAATTATACCCAAATAAACATTATTTTCTTTGATGTTTTATTTGCTTATTTGCTTTGCTTTGTTTGTCATTGAATAATTTGATATTAATGGTGGTTAAAGCATAGATAGCCTACTAAGTTATTTTGCCTCCTTCACAAAGAGAAAAAAGTTGGTATATAGACCTATATGAATAATAATAAATTAACAATAAATACATTAAATATGTATGTATGAAAAAATAAATTGCACAAACGGAATCAGGATACTGGAAATTATTATACAAACAGAAATGTATTAAAGGCAGCCTATCCAATTGTTTCCCATTCATAAATAATTACTTTATGTATAATAGGTAATTTTATACTCTTAATCCACTGAGGTGATGCTGAATCGTTTACCTCTAGTACAAACACGTCCGGCATTGGTGTTGCAGAATCACACGGATCCCTTTGAGAGAGGTTAGTGAAGAAAACCCAGTATTAAGACATTATCCACACTAAAAGAAGTTCCCTGACCGGGAATCGAACCCGGGCCGCGGCGGTGAGAGCGCCGAATCCTAACCACTAGACCACCAGGGAAAGTTGCGTAAATTGTAGAGTGAAATATTTTTGAAATATTAATTTGTACAAAGTTACACTGCACTGGTTAATGGAGCTTACGGTCCAATGACAAGTAAACTTGTTTAAGAGCTAGCCTATAGAAATAAAGTTGTTGTATTTTTATTACATCAAAGCAGGAACCCGCAGCGAAACGTGTCAATAGTGTTATTGAGTCATTGCAGAATTAATGCATTTCAGTTAAGTAGCTTTAGGCCTTATATGGCAGTCCAGCTGTGTGCGACATTTAGCCAGGTGTTCTAAGTGTGACTAACAGCTGTAGGCCTGGCCATATTGAAATATTTTATGCCCACTTAAGCAAGCTACAACAACTTAATTCTGTCATAACAATACTACCATGGATAGATATTTTTGTTTTTGTTTTTATTTAGCCTACTTTTATCATTTGGTTATTACATAGTCCTATCCTACATAATATAAATATAAGACACGGTGGCCTATTTAAACAGCCAATACCATTGTTGGGTAAGGGTTTATGTTGCTGTTTTAATGCTTGTGGGTTTGTTAGAACAAATGCAGCTGGATACACCTTTTTTTTTATATCCCCCTAATAATCTAAATACAATTCAGCAGCAAACTACAAGTTACCCATATGTTTTTTTACAATCTCTTTTTAAAAACGTAATGCATAAAAAAAATCAGCTGCTGCATTTTTTATGTCCCTCTTGCTTCAGAAGCTTATACAAGTGCTTCACTTTTATGACCCACATACTGTTTGGCAGCAGAAAAATCCAGACCTTGGGTTTGGTTTTTGACCCTTTAGCTTTAGCTGTCCACACACACAAATGTTTGCCTAAAAATCTATCTTGTTTGTGTTTGATAGGACTCCAAATTAAATGCCATAAATGACTGCCTAATATTTGGCAACAGTGTTCTTCAGATTATTTTGCCATTTGATTTCTTGTGTATTCCTCAAAACATGAAAACATTAATCAGTTGGATGATTAGATGAGCTGAAAGCTGTGTTTACTGTTTCTAATTCTTCAACTGGGAACCAGGCGAGAGCCAGTTTTACACATTAAACTAAAGACATTTTTGTTCTCATTCTCATTTTCATTCTTCCCTTAAAGACACCTGAGGGGAATTCCTTACCTTTTCAGGATGAGCAGTCACCTGGTTTAAGCATCTGTTTCTCTAATGATACATGTGTGTTTTTCTCTTTGTTTAGAGCGTATGGGTAAAACGGCTCCGTCTGTTTTCAGCGGTGTGAGGTCAGGGACGGAGACAGCCCTGAGCAAGCCTGCTGCTCCCAAAGCTCCTGGTGGCAGTGTGTTCAGCAAATAGACACACACTGCAGGAAGAAATAACACACCCTGAAGTGTGAATGTTTCTCAGTCAAAGCTGAATCTGCACATTGATTACAAAAAAAAGTGTTTTAAGAAGTAATGTTTCAGTGAGATAGTTTTGTGCCAGCACTGTCGGTGGACATCATCTGCTATGTAAGCAGTCTTTGTCATTTGTATATTGCACAGTACACTAAACTTGGATATAGATGCAGGTTTGGATTATGCAGCTGTAAATGAAGAGTGACATTTCTGTGTCAGTGTTAAAAATATTGTTTAATCATTTGACTGTTTGCTTTTTTGTACATTTCTTTGAATAAAAAATAATTTACATATCTTAAATGTAGTTGTGTGTTAATAAACTGCAAACGGGACCAATTTATAGGAATATATACTTAGGGTTTGAAAAGAACACTTGTCTGCTTGTCACATACTGGTAAATAGTAGTTGTTGGTTGTAACCTCATCAAGAAAATCAAATTGGACCATCAATCAACTGCACAGCGATAGTGATCGACATAAAGTGCTAAGTTATGTTCACAATAACAATACTGTCCCATGTACACATAATGCAACTGGGTTTAAGATTATACTGTAAATAAGTTTAGGGTGAGTTGTGCATTCAGTCAGTGTCACAGACACACACAAACCATCCTTAAGACATGAGCTGTGTCTCTTTTCAGGGCTTTCATCCTTCGAATGACCCAGCCTTCATAGCCTCAGTTCCGGCCAAACTGAAATGAGACAGTCTGCTGGTTTCCCTGTTTGCATGAACAGCTGTTCCCACCCTTAACTTTTTATATCTAAGCCTCGCCTCTGTCGCCTATAGCAACAACATTAGTATTGGTAGATATTGGACTGAGTGGAATCCATGAACTTACATTCAAAAGTGTTTTATGGGTGCTGAATAGCCTACCAGTTATGTTGTGTGCCCCATGTGCCTACAGAGGTAGTCCTCATTGCAGAGGCTGTGGGTTCGAATCTGACCTCAGCTGTTTGCTGCATGCCATCCCCCCTTACCTGTCCAATGAAGGCAAAAAGGCCCAATAATATAAAAAGTGTATTACTTTATTTAGGGTCCACCAGCTTGTTTGTATTATTGGACAAGGAATCTCTGTGTATGTTGGGCCACGAAGGATGCACCAAATAGATCCTTTGTTTGCCGGGAAAAGAAGGACGCATTTGTTTCAAGCATTTAAAGAAGCCTTCGAAATGGGACAGGCTTTGATGTGCTGATGTGATTTAATTTGTCTTCAAACGTTCCCTCTGAAGGATGCAGCCCCTAAATGAGGAGATAGCCGTGCTTGTGAATCATTGCTTACAGTAGGCTACTAAGCCAAACATTATGTTGACTTTTTGGGTTGAATAACCATCATCAGCACTGTGGCTGAAGCTAAGCAATAGGGAAAAGGTAAAATGATTATCTGTGGTTTTGTCTGAACACAACTTAAGATTCATCAAGATGCAAGACACATGACTCCCTTGAGGCACTATCAAGGCCTCTTATTGCTGATATATCAACTTAAGGGTGATCAAATGTCAGGACTCTGTTAAAGCTTGTTTCTGCTTCCCCTAAGTGACAACGCAATAGTAAAATGAAATGTTTGAGCTTTGAGGAAAACTGCTGTTATTTTCATTTCCATCAAGGCCTTCATTGTATCAGTGTGAATATTGTGCTTACATTGTACTTGATAAAATTGACAACTACCTTAGCAAATCATTTCATATCCACAGATCTCATCTTATAATTGTATCTTTGAACCCCTGATGAGAATCCAGCTCTGTCATTAGACAAGCACTTAACATGGTAAAGTATCTGACTAAATCTTTCTTTAACTAGCCTAACATATTGCAGACCTAAAGGTACACAAGCATAAAGGATTCAGATTCAAAATCAGTGGGTCATTTTTATTTTTTTCCTCTTTCCCTTAAAACTGCATCTGCCAAGCACAGTCCCACACGATGAAGATGACTCACCTAAAAGTAAACAGAGTTGCACAAGTTGCACAAACAGTTGTGTGTGTTCACAAGGTCCACAGTTGCAAAACTCCTAATATCCACGCACAAGTCATCTGGTTGATTTCACCTTATGTATGTTGAGATAGAAATGTTTATCTTGTGATGATGCACTATCAAAAACACTTTTTGGTCCAGCCAGCTCACTCTAGTTTAACATCACAATATCCCGATTCATCTACATGCACTTGGCCAAATCTAGCAGTAATCAGTGTGTGTGTGTCTGGATAATTTGACTTAAAAGTACATACAGTAGTCTCTCTGATTTCCTTACACTGCTGTACTGTTTGCTTCCTGGCAAGGGGGAAATGACACAAACATACAGTACACGTTAAGTGAAGCAGTACAGGCTCCTGTGTGAAAGAGTGCGCTAAGGAGGGAGTGAAGCAATGTTTGTCCACCCACATGTGGTAACTGGCAGAACTACTTTTACACAAATACACTATCTTTTATTATCAAAGTTTAGGGGATAACGACAATTTAGCTACAATGTGAACTGAATGGTCTGGCATAGTGCACTTTGTTGGCAGTAGGACTAACCCCCAAAATGAAATAATTTTAAAATGAATCAATGCTTTAAAAAAAAAAAAAAAAAAAAATATATATATATATATATATATATATATATATATATATATATATATATATATATATATTCATTCTGACTTCATGTTTCTGGTATCAATGTTTGTAGCTCAAGGACTTCAACACATTGAGGTCAGTCCTGTTGGTCAGTTCCTCCCCTTGGGCAGAAAGCTTTTTCTCAGCACTGAAGTCAGACACTATTCAGTGGAAGTTTGGTCATGTCTGGACAGCAGGGTGTTCGACTGCTGCTCCCGTGGGCCAGCGCCTGCCTTGCGCTGCTCAGCCTGGCCCAGGGAGCTGTGGTCATCTCCGGGGGCCATGAAGCTCTGCAGGTAATTTTACACAACAACCTTTATATGCAAACATCTTAATTTAGAAATGCATCTTACATTAATAGTTGTTTAATTTCTCCAGTGTTGAATATACCTGGTGGTACCTGATTTTAGATTCAGTCTGTTTTTTTTAATCAGCGGTGCATCACAAAGTGTGCTCTTTAGTTTTCAACTTTATTTCTTCCCTGGTTTAACTCTTCTGAACATCTCCTCTTCATGCGTGTGTTTGTTTTCTAGTATTTTGGTTCCTTTTCGGTTTAATATGCTGTATTTGTATTTCAGGAGACAGGAGGAGCTACTAGATTTCTAAAGGTATCTGTAAAAAAAAACATACACCCAGTCAGTCCTGTCACAAGGTTAAAGATATTGTTTGCATTTTTCAGTTTGTATGGAATTAAACAAACCTGGCAGTCATTGATGGATTTGAGATCTGAATCCACACTGAAGTGACATTTTAACCACTCATTATAAGTTCAATGTTTTAAGTACAATAATTTGATGTGATTTCAGTTTTGTGCAGTCTTAAGTTTGGATTTATCCCGTTGTATTGTCTGTTTATTCATTTATTTTTTACAGAAAAGAAGTACAAATGATGCCATGGTAAGAAAACATTCCTGTTGTATCTTCTTTTATTTGATAAATATCAGGTTCAGTTTAATAAGCCTTCATTAAATGGGCAAGGACAATGTAATGAAGCAGCTCGAACAGATACACGCTCAATAAAGAGGGCAAAAAAGTAAACGCCATAAATCACCAAACTAAGACACAAAAGGCCTTAAACTAAAAACTTTGTGTTGGACAAACTAGTCAAGTTTCAGTTTACAGCTACCCAACAAGAAGACTATGTTGCTGTTGTAGTGCAACCCCTCCTCAGCAGAGCAGATGTTTCTCAATCAATCAAGATAATAACTGTTTGTCTACAGACATAAACCAGTTAGAAGCTATTTCTAAATGCAGGTTTACCAGATTTGAACTCTTCCCGAACAACAGCACCTGTCTCTTGAGCTGTGAGAGTAAGTGGTAAACAAATCAGTTTTAATGGTTCCATTTTTCTTTCAAAATCTTATTTTTATACCAGCCAAGACTAAAAATCGAGTGACATTTTTCATGCTTAAAGAAATATCGTTCTTTTTGTGCTTTATATAAATAAAGTTCACAAGACACATTCAAGACACATCACAGGAGAACTACAAGATCCCGTGGGATTTAAAAAAAAAAACATGCAAAAAACATGTTGCTTTGTCTTTCTGAGGATGCATTGTTGTTAATTCGGTTCCTGTTTTGACGTAATGTTGATAAAGTGATGAAAAATACGATCACGAGTCCGTATATTGTGTTTTATTTTGAAATTGACCGGATGCTCTGTGCGTTTCCTTGTCTGACTTCCTGTCCGGGCTGTCATATTCTGCCCAGCTTGACGTGAACTTGCAGCGTACTCCGGCAAAAATAGACTCGCTGTGTATTTGAAACGGAGCAGAGCGCAGTGCCGTCGGTGGCTCGCGCCGGAGACGGACCGCAGCGCGTGCTGTGTGAGCACAATGATTGACTAGAGTGAAGGCTAAGTACAACGTAGTGCGCGGTGCTTTAAGAACTGAATGATACCATATCGCGCATGCGTTGTCATGTGACCCCTGATGACCCTGACAGGTCTATATCTTCCGGTGTCATCAGAGGATCTGTTCCTTCAGAATCTTCTCGCGACACACGATGATTCCGAGTGACCAGAAGCTCTGGCGGTCATCCAGGATTCACAGAACCGTAGTTACATACGTAACTTTCATTCTATTTCATCCTTCCTAACCGCCAGAGGCAGTGCTTTTCACAGCACCCTTGACCAGGAGGGTAGAGAGCTCTTGGTCGAGAGCGAGGGCTTTTGCCGGGTCGCCTTTGATGGTCATCCTGACCCAGCCAATGGCTGGGGGCCGGCGTCAGAACTGCAGTCTGTATCCCTGGGCTAGAGTAGAAACCACCCAAGCGTCTGGTGTTGAAGCAGCCCAGTAGCTGAGCTGCTGGAAAAACAGCCGGCAGCCGGTCCCAAGGCCTTAGGGCCTGGCCCCCCGGTCTCTAGAGGTTCTGGGGTGGGCGGCGGTTTGAGTCCCAGGTCCGAGGCTGCCTGGAGGGCAGGCGATCGGGGACCCGAAAGTCCTGGGCTGCATGACGGCCAGGATGCTGTGCTGGGCGCTGAGGCTGCTGGTGACCACTGGCACCAGCTGGGGACTGAAACCGGCACTGAGGAGGGACCACAGTACTCCTAGTCCTAACATGGGGAGGCAAGCTCCTGCTGAGAGCAGAGAGCTGCTGCTTTGTCTGTCTAGCCTGAATAGACCGTTCAAGAGCCTCTAGAGCTGCTGATCTGAACAGCTCCCCAGGCTCCACTGGAACACTGCGCAGGATCCTCCTGCTTGCCTCAGTGAGGGGCGACTGCACCAACCAAACCTCCCGGCGAGCCTGGGTGAGTGTGGACATCACCCATCCCAACTCCCTAGACATCAGCGCAAACGCCTGGAGGGACGCATCACTAAGACTATGCACCAATGAATCAGGTGCCGTCTCCGGCAGGGAGGCTGACAGGGCAAGCAGAAGGTGGGACATCGAGTTCCCTATCCTCCCCATACAGGCTCCTGCCTCATAAGCCCTAGACAGGAGGTCGTCTGTCAACCTGCACTGAGGTCGGTGACACCGCGCATCCCACCTAAGGGCCTCATCAGGAGAAACAATAAGAGCCACAGTGGCTGGCTCTACTGCCGGCATGTGGCCCAACCCGAACTTGGCCGCATCCTGCATAGCTGCAAGAGCCCGGCCATCTGAGGTAGCGTGGTTGAGGGCCTTTGAATCTCTCCAGCATGCGTGCAACTCTCTCAGGTACTCCTCCAAGAGGAACCGTGAATGTAGCTGGGGCTGTACTGCGCCTAAAAAAGGCACTCACCGGGGGAAGCTCTGGCTAAGGAGGGTCCAGCTGCAGACGAGCCAGGGTCCTACGAATGAGGGCCCCCACGGAGTCATCCACCGAGCCCCGTCTGGAGCTGAGGGCAGAGGAATGGGAGCCAGCCACTGAGGCCTGAGAAGCCCCCTCTTGAGAGGGTGCATCCCCCCATACTCTCCAAACTCTGTGGCAGATGCCGCCATTGAGAGGATTTCCTCCTCAATAACTGAAGTGGCATCAGGAGGAGCAGGCTGGACCACACTGACCCTACTCACCTCAGTCTGCCTTGTGAAAAAGGCAGCCTTCATCTGATCAAGCTCTGCCGGTCCACCCTGGAAGTAAGCTTGGACTGCTTCTGGTTAGAGGCGCCCACAGTCTCAGCAGCTCTACACTTCAACTGGCCAAGAGGGATCGTAACTGGCCCCTGAGCTGGAGTCAGCTGAGGAGGAGACAAATAAACTGGCGACCCCCCCACCGCCTCTCCAACAAGGTGATCTGATGCGCTAATTACAAGCCGGCTTTGGGCGAAAACACCAGCCAACCAAACAGGATGCACCTATGTCGGGAGAGGGAGCGAACACACTGCCTTCACTGACAAAGGGTATAAGACAGAATAAACAGGTAGAAAACACAGTGGCCACTACTAGTTGTCTATAAGCGGAAGCGCTTCAACTAAACGACAACAAGGCAAACTTAATGGGGGGTAGGAGCGCAAACGCCGCCTCCACACCGAAAAAAGGGCAGGCACCAACAATAAATGAACGATAAGTGCTGTAAACAAAACAACACGGGTGCGGTTAGCTCCGTCGGACACAATGTCGGTAACCGTAACAAACAGAAACTAAAGTATGCTGGATGTGGCGAAAACACACAAACTTCAGCAACAACAAAAAACTGTGATACTCAATTATGTAGGCGACAAACCTTAGGGCTCACTATCCAAGGAAAAAATGCTGAAAGGCCAAGCTCGTCACAGCCCTTGGAGGGCGACTGAAGCATCGCAACTCCGACAACCATCCAACCACCTACGAGCGAGAAGATGTAAAGGAACAGATCCTCTAATGACAACGGAAGATATAGTCGGGGTCATCAGGGGTCACATGTGACTTTGTTGGTATAGCTACCCGACCTGCGCATGCGAGATATGGTATCATTCAGTGCTTAAAGCACCGCCTCTGGCGGTCAGGAAGGATGAAATAGAAACCACCTTACACCAAACGACTAAGATCAAGGGAGTGCGCCCCAACTACAGCAAACCTCCAATGATATTACTCTGACTTAAGAAAGTTGTCTGTGAATTTGAAAACACTTAAGAAGTTGTTAGGTGTTAGGCCAGCATAGGTTTATTCTTTTTTCTGCAAGTAAGATATGCAAACAGGGAAATAATTTTAAACATAAAAATGACATTTTTGGGTCTTGTTATACCGTTACAAAAAGGCATACTTGTCACAATGACTTTGAATCCCTTTCAAACCCTTCAGGTCCAACAAACCTACTTCTCTCTCAATGCCCAGAATTAATGAAAAAGATTTAAAATTTGACCAAACAGACAAAAGGAATGTCCACTGTGTCCATTCAAGGTATCTAAAGCAAAGAGGTTTTAGGGTTAAACATTGTGATACTCTGAGAGTCAAATATCTGTCTGTGCCAGATATAAGATGCCACCTTGGAAAAATATTCCTCATTTCCTTTGGTTTTTACCCAGAAGATCTCAAAGAAACAGAATGCATGCAGAGGGAATCAAGGCAGGAAGGAATAGCGTCACCCTGACTGAAGCAAACAGGAATCACGTAAAATGCCCTCAGCTCAGGCACACATGATTATTGTGTTGGTCACAGATAGGTTGCTTTTGTGTTGCTCAAAAAAAAGGTTGATAATGTTTGTTGAGAGTGATTGGTAAAGTGAATAGACTGACAAACACACAGTATACTTTAAATATACACACCATATGTGTTTCGACATGCTGCACCCAGGCTGATTCACATAAACACTCCCTGAGTGGAACCAGTTACTAAATTATCTTTATAACTCGTGTTTTTTAAGCTCTTATTGTTGTCTTATTTGGTACTATTCAAGGTGAATCCACCTACAATTGTCAAGTCAGTTTTGAAATGACACAAAAACAGCCGACTCTGAAGTTATTTAAAAAAGTGTGTGTATATGATGCTTGGGATCTCTTGCCTACACAGCCTCTCTTTCTGCCAGGTGGAGGTGTACAGTGTGACGGTGGACTGCACTGTGAGGTCTCGTTTTGCTCACACCGTCATGACCTCCAAGGCCCTGAACAAAGCGAAAACCTCCCAGGAAATCTTCTTTGAAGTGCAGCTGCCCAAGACTGCCTTCATCAGTAACTTCAGCATGTCCGTTTGCCACGTTAAAAGTTTCACCCTATACCCAGTGTTTGCTTGCATCTTGTTGCTTTTTCGAGACAGATATTATCACCGCTTCTCTTGTGCTTGAAAGCTCATTTCTCTTAATAATACAGTTGGCAGAGTTCAAGAGCAACATTATGTTCTCTATCTTTCACAGGGAAATTGAAGGTCAGGTGTATGTTGGGGAAGTGAAGGGGAAAGAGAAAGCCAAGAAGCAGTATGAAAAGGCTGTTTCCTCTGGACAAACTGCTGGACTGGTCAAGTGAGTCTGTGAGGATGAAATATTCATGAAGCAAACACAGCAAGAAACACACAGAAAAACAAAGTGGATCTCCATTTAGATTTTCACACTCCTTTGATCTTAGTCGTTTGGTGTAAGCTGGTTACTAGTCTACATTTATTAGTCATGGTTTTTTGAAGTGGATCTTTGATGATTGTTCTCTCTCTGTTTCATTATAGAGCTTCTGGGAGAAAGATGGAGAAGTTTTCTGTGTCCGTCAATATCGCAGCAGGAAAAAATGTGACTTTTGCTCTGACTTACGAGGAGCTCCTTCAGAGGACTCTGGGCCAGTATGAGATTCTGATTCAAATTAAACCCAAACAGAGGGTCCAGAAGTTTCAGGTGAATCTGATTCTGTTCTGCTGTGGCCTTGTGATTTGGTTCTTTCAGATCTTTTAAATGAGCTATTTACAAATGATCTGTCTGTCTGTCTGTCTGTCTGTCTTTTTGCCTGTGTGTATGACAGATTGTGACAAACATCTACGAGCCACAGGGCATTTCTTTCCTTGATGCCCATGCTACCTTCCTTACCAATGATTTGCTCCCTCTGGTGGAGAAAACTGTAACAGACAAAAAGGTACATGGTCCCTGGAGGAAGTTGTTTCATTCTTGCAGTTCGTGGATCAGACTTTCACCCTTTTTACATGAAATACATTATTGACCCAAAGATTTGAGTTCAGCTGACTGTGTGTATCATGTTGTCAGGCACACATCTCTTTCTCACCAACCATGGAGCAGCAGAGGAGTTGTCCTGATTGTGATGGAACCTTCATTGATGGAGATTTTGTCATCAAATATGACGTAAACAGACCGACCAGCATTGGGGACATTCAGGTATGCTGTCACTCAAACAACTAAAAACAGATACGTTAGCGTGGGTTCAAGGGGTCCTTCTTGGGAAAAAATGGGAAGAATGATTCCAATGTCTATATTTTGGCACATTTATAGTCAAAGGCAGAATTGGTAATGTTTCTCGATCAGTCTGAAGAAACCTCAGTTAAATCATGCAGAATTCCTTACATCATAATTGCTTATTTTTCGTGTAGCATTTTATAATTAAATGTCTTCCATACTTGAAATATTATTTATCATTACTATACATATACTGTAAAAAATTGTAAAATTGCACAAGAACATGTAGGTCTATAAATTACAGTATGTTTATTACTGCCCTTTATTATTCTTTCCCCTTCAGATGGCAAACGGGTACTTTGTACACTTTTTCGCTCCACCTCACCTGCCCAGAGTCCCGAAGAATGTGGTGTTTGTGATTGACAGGAGCGGTTCAATGTCTGGAAGAAAGATTCAACAGGTGGGGGACCTATTGTTTTAGGATCTTACTAAAAAAAACAAGGTGGAGTGGTACAAGTGAGCTATTTGTGTATGCAGGAGTTAACACCTTACAAGCTTTATTGAGGAACCTGATGTACAGATTTATCGGTCGCTTGAATGATTCTAAGAATGTAATTATAATGCTGCTGTCAAACCCAAGTTATGGTGCAGTATGCTACCAGTCATACCTTTGGAGACATTGGAATAAGTGCCTTTTATAAGAGGTGGGAATGTTTTTATTGTATATGTGTGTTGTCTATTTTTTACTATTTTTTTAACTTATTTTTTGTATTGTATGTCTTTTAAAATGGACCTTGAGTCTAATAATAAAAGTTGATGATGATGATGATGATGATGTTCAGACTGCAAATGGGGTTATAAAATGTTAGTGTCCACATGCACACGTTTTTCTTATGACCTCTGTGTAGACACGAGAGGCAATGCTGGCCATCCTCAAAGACATCCATGAGGAGGACCATTTTGCCATCGTCCTGTTTGATAGCCAGGTCGATCCCTGGAGATCAACCCTTTCCAAAGCAACAGAAGAAAACGTGAATGAAGCCATGGCATTTATCAGGCAGCTAAATATCAGAGGATGTAATGATTTTACTAACCTTTTTATACATAATGTCCTCACTTCAAAATACAATTTAAAAACCACTTCTGTGATCTGATTAGATTTTCTTATGTGTTTACCATCTAGCAACCAATTTTAATGATGCACTGTTGGACAGTGTGAAAATGCTTTTCAGCGACAGAAAGGAGCAAAGGATCCCAGAGAGGAGCATTGATATGATTATTGCACTGACTGATGGAATGCCAGATTCGGGTGAGTGTGCACATACTGTAAGGTATATTTTGTGTGAGTGCATGTTTGATTGTTGTAATTAATGTTTAACATCAAATGAACTATATCATTTATATAAGAATTATTTTGCATTTTGAAGGCCCCGATAGGATCCTGGAGAATATGCACCCTGGTAGGGGTGGAAACATTTCTCTGTTCTGTCTTGGATTTGGAAATGATGTGGCTTACACCTTCCTGGAAACGTTGAGCAAACAAAACAAGGGATCGGCCCGCAAAATTTATGAGGGATCAGATGCAACGCTTCAACTTCAGGTGGAAAGTTTAGGCTGTGAACACATTTACAAGACTATAATTATTCCAAAGTTTTCCACATTTATACCATGACTACATTTTGATTAAGCTAAAATACTCAACTCAACCCAGTTGAGTTGAGTATTTTAGCTGGTTTACCAACCTTTCATACATAAAAACGTGCAGCCCAGAGCGCATCACAAAAGAACAGACTCATACTGTAACACATTTTGTACAAACACTGGTAATACATTGTGTGTGTCGGGATTTGTCGCAGGGTTTTTATGAGGAGGTGTCCAGCCCTCTTCTTTTGGAGGTTGACCTGCGTTATCCTGATGAGGCAGTGGACTTTCTCACCACTAACCACTTCAACCAGCTATTTAACGGCTCCGAGATCGTGGTGGCTGGAAAACTGGAGGACAACGACCTCGACAACTTCATGGTGGAAGTGTTTGGCCAGGGGGTGAGGACAAAGAAACTGTATCAAGACAATTGTGAGGTGATAGATGAGGTTTGTTTATTCATTTGTTTTTAGAGACTATTAGTCCTCTTTGTCCCTCCTGCTTAGTTTGAAGATGACTTCAAGGTGCAGGGACAGGCCCGTGCTGTAGACTGGGACGTGATGTACCCTGATGAGGAATACATTTTTGGAGATTTTACAGAGCGTCTTTGGGCCTACCTAACCATTCAACAGCTACTGGAGAAAAGGTGAGTTTGAGTAATTTCACTCAAGCTGATACCTGAAACTTTTTCTCTTCTGTATGTAATTGTTATAATTTAAAACCTTCATCAAAGATGCATCCTCAAATCGTCTGAGAGCTAAGAATGGATCACACAAAACTAATTCACCAATTCCAACCAAGCCACATATTTTTTCTACTTTCAGTAAGAGTGGTACCACTGGTGAGAAAGAGAATGCCACGGCAAAGGCCCTGGAAATGTCCCTGCGGTATAGCTTCGTAACCCCTCTCACTTCCATGGTGGTCACTAAGCCTGAAACTGAGGATGGAACAGAAAGCCCGCTCATAGCTGATAAACTGACTGAGGGTAAGAGAGCCAGCCATTTGACCTACAGTATGTGTGAAACAAAACCTAACATTTGCAAACCGCATTCATTTTCAACTATTATGGTTACCTGAAGGTGGTGCTCAAGTAAAAACTTTAGCTTAAATTAACACATTTGTTTTTTGTCATCTGTTTATTTTGACAGAGCAAAGACAAGTGTCAGAAAGACAGAATCAATATCAAACTCAAAGTTATAACCCTCCAGCATACAGAACGACCTATCAGTCAACACCCTCCTATTTCGGTAAGTCATTTTTTGCAGAGCTGGCTTGATGGTTCTAGGAATAACTGTGTTACTCTTCTAGTCAGTTGTTTTTTTTCAGTCTATCTAAACCACTTGTTTAAATTGTCCTTAGATGATGTATCTCACTCACTTTAGTATTACCCTGACTCCTCTCCTAACATTTATGAGCACGTTGAATTGAGCCCAAAAGCCCCACTGTGCACAAGCTCACAGAGCTGCTTGCGTTGCTGTACACTTAGTTTTGTTGTCATGTAGGAGCCAAAATGTTGAGCAAAGACAACATATAAAACAAAACCATTACTCATTTTGTTTATCACTTCCATTTACTTTGTTGTCACCCGCAGTGGACGGGGATCCTCATTTCATGATTGAGCTCCCAGACAGAGAAGACGCACTGTGCTTCAACATCAACGACAAACCAGGAACCATTTTCAACCTGGTCAGAGACCTTAAACAAGGTCAGCCACGAGTCTATTTTTGAGTATGAGCCATGAGTTCAAGATTTTGTGCATTTCTCCTCACATGCCTGAAAATTACACGGAATCCCCTTTTGTTTCTTCAGGTATTTTGGTCAATGGCGAGATCATAGGCGACAAGATGATTCCCCCTGATGGGAAAATTAACACCTACTTTTGGCGTTTTGGCATCATCCACAAGACTCTGGGGGTGAGGCTGATTGTGAGCACTCAGGACGTCTCTTTGTTTCAGGATGGCCAACTGGTCAAGCTGCAGTGGTCTGATTCAGCTTCACTCAAAGGATCCAAGTGAGTGGCTGCATGTCCCATGGTTACCTCATTCAATAAGAGAAAACTATTCCTCTACATGAGTCAAAAATCCAGTTGAGAATAAATGCTTACCATCTTGCTCCCCTCACCCTCATATCCTCCAGTGTGGATATTCTCCTGACCAAGGATCGCAGCCTCACAGTAACTCTGAAAGATTCAGTCAAGTTTGTCATCCTGCTACACAAAGTGTGGGAGAAGCACCCGTACCACCGGAACTACCTGGGTTTCTACACCCTGGACACCCACCTCCTGTCATCTTCGGTTCACGGCCTGCTAGGTACAACTTGTTAAGTTATTAGAGAAAATTACATCATAATGACTGATAATAGGGGAATGTTATCTGTAGCATTTCTTCTTGGGTATACAACAATACCCTCACTTTCTGTATAGTGTATTTTTGATTCCAGCAGCAACAGCAACACTGTGTGCAACCTCCACAACATCACAACACTGTTAATGCTCCAAGACAATGACCTGCTTGGTTCACACATCAGGTCAAAGTCTATTCCATTTAATTTGGACTGCAGGACAAAGTCAGTTCAATGTAAACTGGTTCAGACATTTATATTGGCACATGTCCCTCAGGAAGCGTCTGGTCATGTAAAGTAGTGCATGTCATGTCTAGAAAGGGCTTTAGGTTCAACTCCTACCTTTGCACCTTTGGCCATTACTATGTTCAGTCTTTTGGAACTATATTGGAAACAATCATAGTGTTTAGGTGGAATCAGAAATACCCTAACACTCTGAAATGGGTTGTCAGGCCACAACAGACAAATTGGTGCCACAAGAGGAGAACTCTGCCATGGGAAATTGACTTTCTCTTTTACTGTAGTATTTTAAGATTGTGTTAAAACTTACTGCCACCACTCCAAACATAAATAAATCAGATGGATTAATATCTCCTTGTAAATACTTATGATTTGGTTTTAGTTTTTCAAATCTGTATCAAGGCAGTAAACACGGGAGCAAAGAGGGGACTGCCTCTTGTTTCCTTCTTACATACAGCAGTACACTGGTAGTTAACTGTTAGCTTTGATTTTAGAGTTATTATTGGATATGTGCTATATTTGGTTCTTTAAATGCAAAACTATATGTATACAATAACACCAAATTGCAAGCATAATAAACAGTCTCAGATTTCCTTTCATATGTGAGCAAAATATCTTATGCTCTTATATGCAATTAAGGAATCAAATTGAGGAATCATTCTTCAGGGACTTCACGTGTACTTGAGGTCAAGAAGGAGCATATCTCAGTATTTTATATTGGTGTATTGGTCCTAATGATATAAGACACAACAAACCTTTTAGAGGAAATATAGGTGTTATAAGTGTGTCTTAAACACATAATTTTACAGTAGGCTATATCAATTAGGTGTTATAAGAATCCTACACCAAAGGGCTTGAAATGTACCCACAATAACAGGGGGTAAGATTAAAGAACAGAAACATATCGGATAGATGTGTGGCTAACCTAACTTGGCCTTCATCAAAACCTAAAAGAAACACGATATCAACTTGAAGAAGAAAACAACATTCACAAGCACATGGGCCAGCATAGACGAGCAGTTCCTCAGCTCAGGACTCAGCTGTCCTTTTATATCTAACGGACAAAGAATATTTCTTTGATGAGAGATAATACCACTGAGAAGACAGAGAAGACAACTGAGGTCTTAAAGAGGTCAACTATGTTAAACTGGAACAACGATCCCTTAGCAGAGGCTACCACCAAAATCTTATGCAGTTTTTTATTTCCTGTCCAACAGTTGAAGCATTATTCACACCCTGGATCAACTGTGACCCAAACAACTCACAATGTGTATTAACCAAGCAGAAACCCCTGGTGCTGAAAAATGAAGCCAATGCTGATGTGCAGCACCTTGAGTTTACACTTGAGACTGGCTGCAAAAGCCAAGGAGCCCGTTCAACACCTATATTATAAGGCCCATTATACAGCAGAAATAAACATGTTTACTTTCTGGTTTAAAGATCATATTTTGTCTGAATAGCAATTTTCTTATACACACTGTATTTGGGGTCTTTACATATTTTATTTAACATTAGGGAACATTTAGGGATAGACTAAATGTACTTCAAAATGATATTTACCTCTGACAATTTGTCATCCTTCAGGTCAGTTTTACCATGGGATCAATTATGAGGTGTCAGACCTGCGTCCAGGTGAAGTCACAGAGAAACCAGATGCCACCATGTTTGTGAAAGGACGGGAGCTCAATGTGACAAGGTACATGCCAAAATGAATAGTCAGCATGTAACATGTGTGCTGATTTCATATATGGCTGTTGGTTTGGAACGTGTACTTGAAATATCTGTCAGTGTACATACTGTAAAATGTCTGTGTGTGTGTCCACAGAGGCTGGCAGAGAGACTTCAGGAGGGATGTGAAGAAAGGAGACAATGTCCCCTGCTGGTTCGTTCACAATAATGGAACAGGCCTCATCGATGGAGAAGCATCAGACTACATTGTGTCAGGCCTTTTTAAAACTGTTTAAGAACAGGCTATAAATCACTGTCTACCAGAAATCATTCAAATTAAACTATTAAACTAAAATATTCATTCACTATAATGCTCTGGTATCATGAGCCCATAAAGCAAATACTCTTCATTCAACGCAATCCCTAAATATGGAGATGTATCGGAGCAATCTCAGCGATCACTTGTATTCAAATAAATGGGACACAGTTCCTCAATATGGAATCCAGCTGTATTTTGTTATAAGTGCTAAGTGTGACCGAAAAAGCTGCTTTGTTCATGTTTGTCCAGTCTTTGATTCAGGTCTTCTTCTTGTTCAACCTCAAAAACACAATTCTACAATTCTACAATTCACTTAGCAGACGCTTTTATCCAAAGCGACGTACATCAGAGAGTAAGTACAACACAAGCAAAGATCTAGAAAAAAGAGAACAATGTCAGTAAGAGCAAACGATCAGCTTTGAGTCCAATTGGACAAACAGGTGCTGACAGGAAGTGACCAGAGGCAAAGCACAACATTGATGGCAGTTCTTGAGAGCTCTAATCAGTATAGAAACCATCTTATAAGTCATCGTTATCAAACAAAAACCATCATCATCATCATCATCATCAATAATATGGAGACCATCATCATTAAGTTAGTAGGTATTCATGAAAGAGCTGGGTCTTTGGCTTTTTCTTAAAGGTGCAGAGGGACTCTGCAGATCGAATGGAGTTTGGAAGTTCATTCCACCACCGGGGGACGACAGAGGAGAAGAGTATGATCAGAGACTTAGGACCCTGTTGTGAAGGTTGGATCAGACGCCTTTCATTGGCAGAGCGTAGTGGGCGGGAGGGAGTGTAGACCTGGATGAGAGAGTTAAAGTAAGGAGGAGCCGTTTTTGTCGCTGTTTTGTAAGCGAGCAGCAGAGTTTTAAATTTGATGCGAGCAGTAACTGTGAGCCAGTGTAAGGAGATGAACAGCGGAGTGTTCGGAATGTGCTCTTTTAAGAAGGTTAAAGACCAGTCATGCTGCTGCATTTTGTGTCATTGCAGAGGTTTGATAGTTCATGTAGGAAGACCTGCCAGTAGAGAGTTGCAATAGTCAATGCGTGATATCACAAGAGCCTGTACCAGGAGCTGTGTAGCGTGTTCTGACAGGTAAGGTCTGATCTTCCTGATGTTGTACAGGGCAAATCGACATGACCGGGCAATCGAGGCTATTTGAACCTTAAAAGTTAGCTGGTCATCAATCATGACACCCAGGTTCCGGGCAGACTTTGTGGGCATGAGTTTGGTTGTTCCAAGCTGGATAACTTTTGCTGCTTTGCTAAAAGTGCTCATGATGGATAGGCTGGATCTTTGTAACATAACAATAAGTAAGGTCTTTTACCTGCTTTTGTAACATAACAATAAGTAAGGTCTTTTACCTGCTTTTGTAACATAACAATGAGTAAGGTCTTTTTACCTACTCTTTTGTAATGTTAACAGACAAAGAGTAAGGTATTTCACCTGCTTTTTGTAAAGTGTCTCGAGATAACACTTGTTATGAGTTGACGCTATACAAATAAAAATTGATTGAAATTGATTGATATTGATCTGTGGTTGCATAGAGGGACTGGCTGGGATGACAAGGAGCGGGCCGAGAGTCTAGCACAAGCTTAGAGACTTCGACCTCAGTCAGAGAGGAGAATGAGTCGAGTGAGGCACTTTTGGTTGGTGCCTTTGGGCTGTGTTAGTCAGGCTCAGAAAACTGGTTACTGATGGTTGCAACCTTTTCAGTAAAATTTGAGGCAAACATGTCTGGTGTGAACAGATCGGAGGGTGGAGGAGGAGGTGGTTGAAGCAGCGAGTTAAAAGCAGAAAAATGTTTTCTTGTATCTGTGGCATTGCATATATAACAGTTTGTTGAATTTAACATTTGATTATGTGAGGAGGTCACAGAATATAAAGTGTTTTCAAGCAGTACATCCCTGATGAGTAGACGTTAATCATGCTAATTAATGTAAAGTCCACTGTAGTGCTGCTGATACAAATGATACCAAATACAAGATAAGAGTGGTGACAAACTAATAAAATATGTATTGCTGGTCACAGTACAACTGAAATGTTCAAACTGACTATTGTTTAAGAAGTATAGAAAATATACACACTTAATACATTCATGTTGATTTAATTGATGGTTTACATTTTAGGATGATCTAATCGACCTCATTCATCTCAGCTTCAGGAGAACTAATGGATACTTTCATGAAAGGGAAAATCCAGTGGTTTATGTCACCTTAACTCATGCACTCTTGCATGTAGTAAACACGCCACGCACACCTGAAAAAAGCACTCCACAGGCAAGTCAGGACAGCACAAGCCCTATTTGAGATGATGAAATCTCCCACCATTCTTAAGCCCACAAACACCCCAGACACATTCAAATGAATGGAATCAACCATACAAGGACTGCAACATAAACAAAACACTGGAGGAGCACAGGGTCCCACCCCCTGCAATGTGGGTGGAGAAAAAGAAAGTCTTGTGGGAAGACTTTATCTCCCGTATGCCCGGAATTTCCTCCCCACTTGTTTTCAGTCATGCTGGGCAAGAGGATCTTCTGTTTCTCATTCTTGCCTGTTGTGTGGAGACTCATGCTGCTGTTGGTTTGTCTCTGCACTTGGCTAGCAGCCCAGACCCATGGAGCGCTGGTTGTTTTTCCCAGAGATGCTCTTAAAGAGGTATGTTCAAGATGCTGGGTGTAAACAAATGTCTGTTTTGTTATTTTATACAGTTAGCTGTCTGTTTAGTCATCAGCCTATAAACTGTTTATAAAAGTTAGATTACATTAAAATGTATCTGCAGTTGTAGAGCTTCTTTCCATAACACTTTTCCATGAAGTGATATTCTTTGCATGTCTGGTAGCATTAACAAGGCTTTCCCTGATAAAGCATAAAAGAAGTATTCATAGGGAATCTATTCATTCATATGAATACCAAGGCTGTGCAAAAAAGAGAACAGCCAATGAAATAGATTCCCAACAAGCTGCATCATCTTAAACTTAGCCTTTATGGCTGAAGTATGATCAGTATGAGTTACTTGATACTTAGGATTCATCAACAAGTTTCAGGGATTTGCATCTGATGTGTACAAAGCCTGTCAGTGTCAGCCAGGCTGTTTCTTTTTTTACCTAGGAGATTGCTGTAGTCCCCTTCGAATCCAAAGTTGATGTACTATTATAGCAAAAATGTCCTAAACCATACCAAAAAAAGTCACAGTTTGGTTAGTTCAAGGAACCAAAATGACTTGCGTTGATGAACAATTAATTGTAAGTGTTTTTAATGATCTCAGTTGTTTTTGTAATTGATTATTAGTGTTTGTTGATGTTGTTGCTTTGGTTGTTTTAATATGTTTTAATATTCGAGAATAAATAATGGTTTGAATTGAATTGGGCAAAAGGATGACTATTTAGGCTTCTTTGATAACCCATAGTCAATCAATAAATTGATACTAATAAAGCCAATTATTGTCTCTTAACACTTTACATAAAGCAGGTCTAAAATTAACTCTTAATTACATGATTAACAGAGACCCAAAGTCAGGATATTCTTATAAGCATAAATGCTAGTACATTTAAGCATTATTTAGTTGTACATATTTACCAGTATAACATTGTGAAAGTGAAGCTGAGAGTTTATGAGCTGTTATGTAGAGTCCTTTGTCTGCTGAGAAAAGCAATAAGTATTCCTTATAAAAAAGTGCGGAGGTAACCCAAGTTGACGAGAGCGTGCATCAGGCACACAACACTCAGTCTATCGGGACCCCAAATGCTTTGTTAAACTGTGAGAGCTGGAATAGTTTCCAGCTCTCACAGAAACCTGTAGGCTGCTTAGTTCCCACAGGTGCCTTTATTTGCTTGTTACCTGCAGTTGTCATGTGCAGCTCTAGGTTGCTGAATTTTGAGAAAGGTGCAGTTGATATCTGCACATGTAAAAAAAAAAACTAGTTTGCTTTTGAGCATTTCATATTGCACTTGTGTCAAATGACTTAAATCTGACATTGTAATTTTCTGCCTCTGCCATCTCCATACCTGCTTCCCCTTATGAAGCTGAGTTCACACTCCAGTTTGTCTACGAGCCTGCTGCTGCCTGTTTATTCCTGCCAGCTTGTTTGTGTAGTGACCTTTACCTTAATTCTTCTTGTCCTCTGCCTGCTTTTAGTTGATGGTCTGGTTTTGGGTCCACACCCTGCTTTACAGACATGTCACTGCTGTGCTGGCTTCATAGTCCTCAGTAACTTACTCTAAAGCTGAGTTCACACATGCACTCCTGAAATGCTTCCCAAAAAAAATGCTTTTGAAATCTTCCTGAGTTGCTAATTCACAAGTCCCTTACCACGTGAACGTTTCCATGTTGGAAGGAGGTGGCGGTGGGTGGAGTACAGGAGGCAAGATATAACATAATAAAAAAGCTGTTGCAAAAATCCTGAAGATGTTGGACGAAGCATCAGAGTATGTCTCTTTAATGACAGTCAAGGCAAGAGTATAGCAGCTTCATTATGTGTGCAAAGATTGCACTCGTTCTGTGACATAAACATTATCCAACTGTCCGCTCACTGGTGGTGAAATTTCCTGATTATTGCATGAATTCACTCACAAGGGGGCTGACAGAGAAAATCTGGTTCAAATCTGGGTAAAAAAAATCTAACATTTGTGTATGTTTTGTGCAAGTGTACAAACACCATAAAAGACATTTTCTGAAACTTAAAGGATGCACTTAGATAATTCTAATTAAGTGGGCATTGTTGCCATGAAACTGGGGAACATTATTTCCTAAATACTACTTTTCCTCTGTAATACTTCTGTTTTGTTCCAGGATGCCCAAGAAACTATGGGCCCCAGCATCAGGTCAATAAAGGTATTGAGCTTATACAACATCAAGCTTCTTCTTTTTTGCATATTCTTACTATTATACCTATATCACACTCGTTTTTTTGTTTGACCCTGCATACTCCAAAATTATTGTTTTGATTGTGACAAATCTTTTTCTTTTTTTACACAGAAAAGAAGCACAAACCCTGCAAATGTAAGGACATATCTAAATTGTTATATCAGAATAGATGTTTGACTCTTCTCCCAGCAGAAAATACATTTATAAGTTCATGTTAATGTGTCATTTGGAGATGATGAAACCTGAAATTGATAATTGAGTACACATGGCCCACAGTCAAAAGGACTGGTTTCTCACAGTAGTGGCATTGATACTGCAAAATGAAGTCCCCATTTTCCATAAACCTCATTGCTTCCAGATGCTTCCATTTGCTTTGCTCTTCTTTCCCTGGTGTCCTCAGGCATGACATTTTTTTCCCCTTTTCTTTACCAGAGAGAATAAACAGGAAATGGGAAATGGAAGTGATTTGTCCATCTGTATTTCATTCCTTTCTGCATTTGCCAACAGGACAGCCAAAGTTTCATCAATTGTGACCTCTCTTTATTAAACTTATTTTAAAACATTGACCATATTCACAGGGCGGCCATTTACGTTTGACATCATGTTAAGTATGGGAGTCTAAAATCGTGTTATGTCATACTGCTAAAGTCCAATTTGTCATTCACAGTAAGGGTATCTGACAAACTATTTCAATTTCAACACTTCTTGATTCATCAGTAACATTAAAACAATGAACAGTTGATATGAAGGAAATTTGTCCACATAATAGAGTTTAAAAAACCTTTTGATAACCATTCAGCCAACAGCTAACGATATAGCATTCATCCCCTTAGTATTACGATTTGTTAGAAAATGGCTGAAACTGCTTTTATGTTAGGTAGTGTTTTACAATACAATAGGAACTAACATTATGTTACCTCAGAATGAATTAGCTTACATAATGTAAGCTAAGAAGTGGTTAACTACAAGCATTGCTTATTTTCTAACAAGAGATAATGGGTGATCAAATATGTTGTTTTACTTTGAAACATTGCTTGATTTCCCACCACATTCTCACAGGACATTGTCTTCCCAGTAACTGATCCATTTAGAAGCAGTAGCCTAAATTGCGCATTCAAGGCTCAATATTCACGCCATTGTGACGTCTCGCCTTCACTGGGAATGTCACGGAGGCATATTGGGGGAGATAAAGGGATCCCACCTCTGTACCATCTTCAGAGGTGGTAGGGAGTACCACAAAATAACAGCATTTGAACTTTCCACCCAGATTGTGAGAGGAAAATAGTCGCCTTGTGAATTTGATAAGTTCCTTTTGATGTCTGGATCAGAGCTCACAAAAGACACCACAACTGCTGGTGCTTTCACCCCTTTTTTCTCAGTCTTGTTGATGTGCTCTAAACAGCATTATATGTTAGTACACATTATGTTAAAGTCCTTTAAAAAAACATTAAGCTCAACAATGCCAAATTTCACACTGTGTCCGTTGTTTCAGGTGGTGGAGGTGTACAGTGTGAAGGTGGACTGCACTGTGACGTCTCGTTTTGCTCACACCGTCATGACCTCTAAGGCCCTGAACAAAGGGAACACCTCCAAGGCAATTGTCTTTGAAATGGACCTTCCCAAGACGGCCTTAATCAGCAACTTTAGCATGTCAGTCTAAATGTAATACTTCTGATGGTTAGCTTGCACCATTTCATTAATTACAACTGACACTGTCTGTTGTGCTTGCAGGGAAATTGAAGGTCAGGTGTATGTTGGGGAAGTGAAGGGGAAAGAGAAAGCAAAGAAAGAGTATGAGAAAGCTGTTTCCTCTGGACAAACTGCTGGATTGGTCAAGTATGTTGGACTGAAAATGGTTTGGAAATCAAAGGTGGTGGTTTAAACATTAAAACAAAGTGATCAGTGTTCATTATTACAGGGTTTCTGGGAGAAAGATGGAGAAGTTTTCGGTGTCTGTCAACATTGCCGGAAAAAGCAGCGTCACCTTCATTCTGACCTACGAGGAGCTCCTCAAGAGGAATTTGGGACAATATGAGATTTTAACCCGTGTTAAACCCAACCAACCAGTGCAGGAGTTTCAGGTTGAACACACTCTACTCTTTCAGTTTTTAGAATAGTACACATAGCAGTCAAGCAGAAGCTAAAAAATGTGAGAAGGAAGGAAGAATTTGTGACATTTTACACAAAAATATAGTAGAAATCAATTACATCCTATGTAACGGCCTGTCTGAGTCATGACTGTTGACAATGAGTGAGAAGTGCAAGTCCCGCTGGCTGTGTAGTTGTCGGTGCCGTGTTTACATCAGGTTTACATGAACGGGACGGTCGACTCCACTCCTTGCGTATAAAAGCTGTTTTAGTCAAGGACCAAAGTAAAAAAGAATAACATAGCCTACTCACCGCTTATTTGGATGTTTTTATATCACGGCTATTCCGTGTCAATTTATATACAATGTGAAGCTACGAGCTAACTAAAGTGTGCTAGCATTAGCTCGCTAATACAACAATGTAGGCCACAGGCACTTGCGGCTTGAGCAAAGGATAATTTTGCTCGCCGCTTGCGCTAAACTTCTCCGTGTGAACGCAAATGGAGGGGTGGTTTGAGGTGCGTCGATGAAGGAGAGTGGACGCTTAAGTATGGCCGAGGTGCATCCAAACAAGCAAATTGTTTTGGTTTCAAGGGCGACATCTACTGCATCAAAAAGTCGCACATTCTTCATTTAATGCAAGACAGTGACACATTGATTCCACTTTTTTATCTGTCTCTGTTAATATGTGCTCATGCCTTAGTGTCTTTGTGTTGACAGATTGTGACAAACATCTATGAGCCCCAGGGCATCGCTTTTGTTGAGGCCACTGCAACTTTCCTCACAAATGATCTGCTCTCACTTGTAGAGAAAACAGTCACAGACACAAAGGTAAATGGTAGATTCACAGATTCTCCCCTACTGTTTAAGACTTCAGCATAAATGATGTCCACTGATGTCAATTGATATGAATGTGTTTGTCCCTCAGGCACACGTCTCTTTCTCACCAACACTGGAGCAGCAGAGGAAATGTCCAGGATGTGAAGGCACCATCATTGATGGAGATTTTATCATAAAGTACGACGTGAAACGAGAGAAGAGCCTGGGCCATGTTCAGGTCAGCTGCAGGGGAGAACCAGTAACACTACATTAAGCAAAAACATTACCTGCAGGATCATTGCCTCTTCTTTCTTTTGTTTTTCTTTTTTAAACTGCTTATTTAGTTGACCAAATCTAAAAAAGAAAAAGGCCTACAGCACTATTCAAAAACCAAAAAGCTGAAAAATTTTGTTATTTTCCTCCCTCTTGCTGTCTGAGCGTGTGTCAATGTTCCTAGGTACTGTGTGAGCATATTTGTCTTTTAATTAAATTACTTCTCTTCAGATTGTGAACGGACACTTCGTACACTTTTTCGCTCCACCTGACCTGCCCAGAGTCCCAAAGAACGTGGTGTTTGTGATTGACAGGAGCGGATCAATGTCTGGAAGAAAGATTCAACAGGTGAGATATGTTGTGTTGGTTAGCTCCACACTGAGCTCATCATTGTTGACACATCTTCATTTGAGAATTTGGGAACCTTTGCAGACCCGGGATGCTATGGCCGCCATCCTGAAAGACCTCAGTGAGGAGGACCACTTTGCTCTCATCATGTTTGATAATAAAATTATCACCTGGAAGGACTCTCTTACCAAAGCATCAAAGCAAAATGTGTCCAAAGCCATCGCCTACATCAGCAAGCTAAAGGACAATGGATGTAAGAGATTACAAAAAGGGCGGCTGTGGCTCAGTTGGTAGAGTCGGTCGTCTCTCAATCGGAAGGTCGAGGGTTTGATCCCCAGCTTCTGCAGCCACATGTCCGATGTGTCCTTGGGCAAGACACTTAACCCCAAATTGCTCCAGCGTCATCAGCGGTGTTTGAATGTGTATGAATGGGATTAGTTACTTCTCATGGTCACTTTACCTAACAGGTGTGTGAATGGGTAGGAGTGACTGTGGTTTATCTATATATAAGCTCAAGTCCATTTACCGTTTACAAATGGAATCAACTTTTTCAGTGACTAAAATTCAAATTTATTAAAATCTTCTTTATAATCATAATAATACCATATATGGTTATGTGTTTTAAGCTCGTAGCACAAATAGCTTTGCATCACGACTTGCAAAAAAAGCACTAACTGTTTATTCACTTAATCCGTTTAAATACACTACGGGTGGGACTCTATGATGTGATTGATAACCAACACCTGAACCTGCATGGGAGACAGCACCTGATGATGAGCCGGGTCAGGCTCGAAACGTTGTGTTTTTAAATGCATTAAGTGAAAAAACAATAGTGATATTTTTTGGGAGTGTTGCGAGTCTTTTTGCTTTAGATCCAAAGACTTTTTATTACTCAGCACCAACTGATGTGTTTGTTGACTTTTTTCCAGACTTACATCACCCCATTAAACCAACAATTGACATTTTTACTCCTTAGTTTTTGTATAGATTAAAAAGATACTAACTATTGTTTGTTTTTTTTAATTAGGAGTTTGGGAACATATCCAAACTCAGACATTTGTTACTTTGAACTGTCAGTATTGATGCTAGCTAAGCTAAACCAGCTTTATACTGAGATACCAAAATGAGAGTGACAACAAAAAAAAACCAAATATATTTCGTAGAAAGTGTTGAGGAATGGCCTCTTGATTTTTCTGTCTGTTAATGTTATCTGAACAAATGTTCATGTTAAATCTGCTCCCCGTGTATCTTTCTTTCAGCCACAAATATCAATGATGCTGTATTAACAGCAGTAAAAATGTTGATGAGAGAAAGAGAAAAGAAGAACCTGCCAGAAAGGAGCACGGATATGATCATTTTACTGACTGATGGGATGCCAAACAGCGGTTAGCTTTCTTGAGTTTAAAGATTCTAACATTTCATTCTCAACCGTCAATGAAAAATGTCATTATTTGTAGACCAAGGTGAAGCTAAGACTTTGGGATTTGTTGCTAAAGTGGGATTGATTCTGTTCATGATTTAAAAAATGGGAAAAATTGCAGTAATATGGTTATAATTTTGTCAGATATAGTCAAAACTGATTTATCCTTTAATTACTCGTCCTAGTTTCATCAATTACTAATTGTGTATGTACCATATCATTTTAAAGTTTCTGAAGGGTTGAGAGGCTCTTGAAAAATGTTAAAGGTTGCCTTTGTATCATTGGAAGTCCATGGCATTGCACATACATATTTCACATGTATTTCTATATGTTCTTGTGTTTGAAGGAGAGTCTAACCTCCAGAAAATTCAGGAGAATGTGCACTCTGCTATTGGGGGGAAAATGTCCATGTTCTGTCTTGGATTTGGCAATGACGTGAGTTACTCCTTCCTTGATCTGATGAGCAGACAAAATAAAGGACTGGCCCGGAGAATTTTTGAGGGGTCAGATGCAGCACTCCAACTTCAGGTTAGATTAAAAAAAAACGTTTTACTGCAAACTGAATACCCATGCATGATTCATATTTTTTTGTTTTTTGTTCCCATGTGCAAGGACTTTTGGGAATTATTTTTTTAATTTATTCCAGGGTTTCTATGAGGAGGTGTCCAGCCCTCTGCTCTTGGACGTGGATCTGCATTATCCTGACAACTCTGTGGAAGCCTTGACCAAAAACCACTACAGCCAGTTATTCAACGGCTCAGAGATTGTAGTTACAGGTCGAGTGACGGACAACAACCTAGATAACTTCTTGGTGGAAGTATTTGCCAGGGGGGTGAGAAATTAACATGAATATATCAGTAAAAATGAAAAAAAGACTACCTAATCGAAATAATGATGCACTTATTATCAAATGAGGTAGGACCTGCAAATGGATACTGAGACTGATATTAGGAATGAACTGAACTTTGTTTCTGTTGGAGATGCACTTTTCACACTGTTTTATGGTTTCAGAGTTCAGATCATTTTATTAGCAAGAAGACATAGTTGTTCCACATTTGTCCTGCCAAAAAACATCAACTGTTAGAAAACAGATAACTATCCATTTTTGTTTAACCAAAACTGACCTTGGTGATCCCTCGACTTTTTAACATCCTGTCAGAATTTCAATTTGCTTTATATTTTGTAACTTTGTACCAAAGTAGCCTCCTACAAAACTTACAAAATTATCAACCTCAACTTTACATTGCGCTAATAACAATTTTTTGTTGCATACTAACAAGCTAATAAACAACAGACCTCTACCATTGTTAGCATGTTGATGTTAGAATTTATCTCAGAGCACCACCTTGCTTAAGTCCCTCAGAGCTGCTAGCATGGCTTTAAGACGGTAATTTCATCATCAGCGGAAACCATTTGAGTGTTCTGTTGGTATAATGTCTCTACTTTTTTTCCAGCCTGAGGAGGATTTCTCTGTGCAGGGTAAGGCCAGTGTGGTCAACTTTGATGTGCTCTACCCAGAGCAGGACTATATTTTTGGGGATTTCTCAGAGCGTTTGTGGGCCTACCTCACCATCCAGCAGCTACTGGAGAACAGGTTAATTGATGAATTCTGTCTTTTTTTTTACGAAGATGTAAAGCAGGTCTCTCCATGACCTGGGGCAGATTTTTCACAGAAAATCAGATCGTTTTATTATAGAGCAGACTTCTCAATGTCCACTATTTGAATTGTTTTATATCATTTTTTAAACAACCATTGCATTCTTTATTCTTTTGTCTTCCAGTGATATTGGCACTCAGCAGGAAAAAGACAATGCCACAGCGAAGGCCCTGGAAATGGCCCTTCGATACAGCTTTGTCACCCCTCTCACCTCCATGGTGGTCACCAAGCCAGAAACTGAAGATGGACGTGACGACCTGCTCATCGCTGATAAACTTACTGAGGGTAATACTGGGTTATAATTTATTAGTGAGCAGCTGATGTGTTATTATTACTTGTAAGACTAGAAAAAGTCAAAGTGATATGCCATATGGCCATATATCTAACAAATCTACATAAAAAAACTGCTGATTCAGCAGAACATACAGAAGAGATTAAACTAGTGATGTGTTTGCTCCACAGATCAGCGACAGAAAGCAGAGAGGAACGTAGGTAGGGCAAAGTTGATTCTATAAATTATTTAACAGACTTTTTTAAGTTGATGTGGGCTGAACAATTCTTACTTAAGTGTGCTTTTATTGTTTGATATGTGATAACAGGTTCCTCAGCTCATGCAGCAAGTTCAAGTGGCCAATCTCATGGTAGGCATTCTGTACATTCTGTTTTTTTATTGTGTGACGGCCTCAAGCTTGGCCTCTTTGGTTTGTTTCCCTTTGCTGGCTGTGTTCTCCTTGCAGGCAGATGTGGGTAGAGTCAGGAAGGACTGTAATGCAGCACACCTGAGCTGGCTGGATGGGGAGACTACAAAACAGACCCTGCTCAATCTCCTCTGCCTCTCTTCTCTCCTGCATACTGTGGTTAACCTTTGTTTGTTTGTGCTTGGGTTGGAGTTTGATACTCCTCAAAGATCTAACACTGTTTAATTGACTAATTTGATTAAACTCCTTTGAATAATGTAGCCGACTATGTGTGGTCTCCCTCTTTTGTCACTGCTATGTTGAGCCAGGTTGTGACAAAATGGGGGCTCGTCCAACTTACTAGTCTTTTGGTCTGGTAAGTTTCTCTTGTTAAGTAAGGAGCTTGTTTGTTGTATGCTGTTAGTTTGGAACTAGGATTTTTGTCACCTCTATTTTTGCATTTAGTTGCACTTGTAAAGGTCTTCTTACCTTTAGAAGTTAGAGGGTGAATTAGTATAAGTATTTTGACTTTGAGCATTGAATTTGCTAAATACTAGTTTGGGAGGCCTCATTGTCTGGCTTTGACTTTTTTCTTTGTGAATGCAATTAGTTCGACTGTTTTCACAGATTTGATTCGTTTGTATTGAGTTTTTGCCTAGGTTGTCAATTTGTTAGGTTTGCATATAGGGATAGAGCATTTGTGCTGTCTGTTAAAGGGCTGGAGACAGTTTGAGTTCATTTGAGCCATTTTGACAGTGTTAATTGTTTGTTGTGCAAACGCTCAAAGTAAAGCTTTCCCTTGTAGGATGTGGGAACGTTTCTCCTTTGGGATTTGTTTATTGATTGGGGTAGTGTTGCAGTGAAAGCGGTTGGAGCAGTTGTCTCGGGGGCACCTCCCTGGAATTGAAGGGGTCGCTGCATAGCAGTTGCCTTTTTCCTCCAGTGGTTTCAAGTGCGTAAGTACCCACTGCCACTAGCTGCATGAAGACTAGGGGGTAGTTAGTCAGATTTTTGGGTAGGTAGATAGCGGGAAAGCTCTAGTTTCTATTTGCACCACATAGATTGATACTGTCTGGTTATGGCTACTGTTTCTTATTTTGTTGATTATCCCTCTGAGGAGCTTTTTGATTGTTTGAATAGAGAGCAGCTTTTGGAGCTCACTGAGCATTATCATGTTGATCTTGAAAACAGACGGTTGAAAAAAGACATTAAAGAGCTTTTGAGGGCTACTTTAATTGAAAAGGATGTTTTGTCAGTCATGAGTGAGAGTGTAGGGGTGTCTGTTGTTTCTCCTTCGGTTGTTTTGTCATTTGAGCAGCAAAAGGAGCTATTGCAGTTGCAAATGGAGAGAGATAAATTGGGCATTGAAAGAGAACGGCTTAAACATTCTCTAGAAAAGGAGAAGTTAGAATTGCAGCAGTACCGGTTAGACCTCATCAAGGCTGGTAGATGGTCAGGGTTTTCGGAGGAGCCTGTGGCATCTGTTGCAGTAAGTCCAAGGATGTTTGATGTGGTTGGTAACTTGCGTCGTATTCCAAAGTTTGATGAGAGAGACCTGGACACTTTCTTCTGTCTTTTTGAGCGTGTTGCCAATGGAAGAGGGTGGCCTGAAGCTGACCAGGTAGTTATGTTGCAGTCTGTTTTCACAGGAAAGGCCCAGGAAGCATATTCAGCACTCAGTGCAGTTGAAAGTCAGAAGTATTCTACTGTTAAAGATGCGGTGTTGAAAGTTTATGAGTTGGTACCAGAGGCTTATTGGCAATGTTTTAGGTCCTGGAGAAAATCTGATAAACAATCACATGTTGAGTTTTCAAGGGACCTAAATAAACATTTCCACAGATGGTGCTCTGCTTTGGAGGTACACACTTTTGAAAACCCGTGTAATCTCATGGTGTTAGAATAGCTTAAAAATTGCATTCCACCCAAAGTTGCTACTCATATTGCTGAGCGAGGTGTAAAAACTGCTTCTGAAGCTGCCACTCTCGCAGATGAGTATGTGCTGGCCCGTTCAGGTAAATTTGGGAAACAGTGTTTTTTGGATAATGCTAAAGCTAATGGTCACATGTCAAAGACGTCTTGGTCCGAGTCTGCAAAGATGAACCGTGGCCCAGGATCAGTTGGTCTTGGTCTTGTTTGTAATTACTGCCATGAAAGGGGGCATTGGAAGGCTGATTGTCCTCTCCTGAAAAGCAGAAGTTGCACTGGTGGTAAATATGTCAATCCTGCTGCTCTCAGTGCTCCTGTTAGAAATGTTCCAGTTGTCTCAGAAAAAGTTGATGCAGTTAAACCTGAAACTGAGAAGTATTCTGGTTTTGAAGCTTTTGTGTCTGATGGGTTTGTAGCACTCCAGGGTAGTGACAGTAAGGTGCCTGTTAAAATCCTGCGGGATACAGGAGCAAAAGATTCATTTATTCTTGCTTCTGTGCTGCCTTTTTCTCAGGACACAGATACTGGGGACTGTGTACTGGTACGGGGAATGGGTTTGACCACTCTCTGTGTTCCTTTACACAAAGCTATTCTGTCTTGTGGCCTGGTGGATGGTGATGTCCACATTGGTGTTCGGCCTGCCTTGCCTATAGATGGGATAGAAGCTATTCTTGGTAATGATTTGGCTGGCAACCGTGTTTGGGCTGATGGTTGCTCACCTACTGAGTTTAGCTCTGTGAAAAATGAAATCGATGAGTGTGAAAAAGTGTTTCCTGATGTATTTGTGGCTTGTGCTGTGACAAGGGCGATGTCTAAAGCTAAGTCCATTTCTTCAGATGAGAAGGAAGATTGTGAAGTGGGATTTGATTTGCATGTCCCTGAATCTCTTCCTATTTCCCAGCAAGAGCTTATCACTGAGCAGAAAGCTGATGAATCTTTGAGTGATATGTTTGACCAACTACGACCCAAGTACACAAGTGGGTGTCCCAGGGTCCCGACAGTGTTGGTGATCCAGTTGTCCAAATAGTGGTTCCTACTAAGTTACGAAATGAAGTGTTGAAGTGTTCTCATGACCAGACCGGGCATTTGGGACTTGGTAAAACGTACCGTCACATTTTGCGTTACTTTTTCTGGCCCCGCCTCAAGCGTGATGTGGCAGCTTACATTAAGACGTGTCATATTGACAATTGACATATCAAGTTTACTTAAAACCCCTTTTAGAATTCATTGAGTTCTTAAAAAGACTACACTGATTAACAACTTAACAAATTAATTGTGTTGTTTGTTGTTATTGTTGTTGTTAACAGGATCCTCATCCAGGAGTTCCAGTCCCAATCGTAAGCTTTTTATTGTAGAATTTTGAAACATTTATTATTTCAATGCTTATATTGTAACTGAAACTTTTTCTTAAATCTTCTATAAGATTTTTTTTGATTCATAATTGATTCAACTTGTGAAGCTTTTTGTACACTCTGTTTATTTTGACAACAGGTTACAAATTCCGTGGCTCTGGTTCTCGTGGCCGATCAGACGGTAAGATTTACATACAGCAGTAGTTGAACTGTAATTCTCCATTATTTCTGTCACTTTTACTGAAAGGTTCTGTAAGAGTCTTTGTTGGTAAATGGAGTATCAGTTCTTCTATCTGTGCTGCCCTTCCAGTGGAGCAAACTTACAGTGCTCATCAAGCTGCCCTCAAATAGAGAAAATGCTGTGAAGGGGCCTCCTTAGAGCCCTCCCATTAAAGCAAAGTGAGTACATGCCCTCCAGGATGTACCCTCAAGCGGAGTAAACGTGTCAAACATCCCTCTTACTGTATAACTACCCTTGTAGTAAAAGCAAACAAACTCCTGGCTGTGTGATATCCAGTAAAAACGGAGAGGACGTCCACTATTAAGAACTTAACTCATCAATTACAGAAATTCTAAATATGTTTTTAATTTCTAAATCGCTACAGAAGTCAGATTTTTTTTTTTTTGAAATCTGCAATATTTTTGATCACTTTTATTCACTTCTTTTTATTTCCTACCAGGACATTTGTTATTTGATTGAGAACATTTGATTTAAGTACAAGTCAGAGTAACAAAGAGTGTTACAAACATCATATTAACACATCTGTTTTACTGAGTTGGACTGTTACTATATGAATGCTTTCTTTCTGGCACGGTTTTGTCATGTTGATTTTTTTTCAGTGGACGGGGATCCTCATTTCATGATTGAGCTCCCAGACAGAAACGATGCTCTGTGCTTCAACATCAACGACAAGCCAGGAACCATTTTCAACCTGGTCAGAGACCCAGAATCAGGTCAGCCATGACTTTTTTCACCCAGGTTTTTTTTATTAAACAGAGCACAACAAGCTGAAGCATGTCTTATCTTTCCAGGTTTTGTGGTCAATGGACAAATTATTGGCAAGAAGAAAGTTTCTCTCGATGGAAAAATCAACACCTACTTTGGCCGTTTTGGTATCATTCACCAGAAGCTGGGGGTGAGGCTGGAGGTGAGCACTCAGAACATCTCAGTGTTTCACCATGGCAACAAGATCCAGCTGCTGTGGTCTGATTCAGCCTCAATCAAAGAAACTGAGTGAGTGACAATGCTTCACAAACATTATTTTTAGTTGAAAACTGAAACAAAAAATTATAATCACATTTTTTTTCATTTCAGTGATAAAAATGCTTCCAATAATATTTTTTTAAATTTATGTTTATATATAGTTCCTGTTGTAACAACCCAAAACAAAGTTCTGTCCTTAGAATCCCCGACACCTCTCCAGAATAGTGCCCCGAAAAACTCATTGAATCAAACCCATGACCATGTAAATAAAATAGTCACTTGCTGTTTACTATTGGTTACAACTTTTTGTTTCTCTTCCAGTTTTCACCTCAGGTTGTCCAAAAACTCCAGTTTGTCAGTGACGTTGAGGCACTCCGTTAAATTTATGATCATTAGACACACAAAGGTTTGGAAGAGACGCCACGACCAGCAAGACTTCCTGGGTTTCTACACCATAGACAGCCACCACTTGTCTTCCTCAGTGCATGGTCTGCTAGGTAGAAAACTGAAATGTTTCATATCATAATGTGATGATTGTGTCATTATTTTATGTTTGCCTGGTCCTTATTTTTAGATGAATCAAAAGACCATACATGTTTTTTCCCTACAGGTCAGTTCTACCATGGAGTTGGGTTTGAGATAACAGACATGCATTCAGATGAGCTTCAGGAACATATGTATGCCACCATGTTTGTGAAGGGCCAAACACTCAACGTGACCAGGTACAAAGACACACATACATACATTATACAAACACACAAGATTTACACATAATGCATGAGTGGTAAAAGAGCATGACCTTATTGTTTTTTTTATCTCTTGCTCAGACACTGGCAGATGGACTTCAGCAGGGATCTAAAGAATGGGGAAAATATTCCTTGCTGGTTTGTTGACAATGATGGAACAGGCCTCATCGATGGAAAAGCCTCAGACTACATCGTGTCAGGGCTTTCTAAGACTACTTTTTGAATTTTTGAAAATTCAATATCCAAGTGGCCATGTAGAAGGGCCACTTAATCACAGAGGGAGTTTTGTGTATTGAGACATTTATCCAAGATTTCTACGAGTCACGCAGTATATCTTCACAAATTATACTTCTTCAGGCAACAACATTTATACCAGGATAAGATTTAATGGCACAATTTCCAGACCTGAATTGTTGTCTTTATAGCTCATAAGCTAACACGTCGTTAAACATGGATATTTTTCTGGCAACATGTTCTGCTTTATGAAAGCGACAACACAATGTTAATTGTTTTATTAAAGGAAGAATGTGCGACTTTTTGATTAATAGATGTTGCCCTTTAGCACCAGAATTAAACCAAAACAAACTGCTGTTTGGAGACACCTCCGCTATTCTGAAGCCTCCGCTCTTCTCCTCCGGTACAGCTTCTACCACTCTCCACTCACCTTTGCACAAAGGAGTAATCAATTAGGACACACCATAATTAAGCACAAAATTGACCTTTGCTCGAGCTGCAATTGCCCGGTGGCCTTTACTCTAGTCCTTGACTAAAACAGGTTTGATACTCCATGTACAGTCCATGTAAACATGATGTAAACACGGCCCGACAACAGAACAACTGGTGGGACTCAGGCTTGTCACTCATAGACAGTCAAGAGATACATTAACAGAGGATATACTTGATTTCTGCGTAAAATATAGCATATGCTTCCTTTAAGAGGTTTATACAAATTTGCAATCAACTTAAATTGTATGATGAGTAAAACTTTCAGGTCGGTGTCAAAATCAGTCTGATGAGTTTCCTGTAAACGATTTATAAAACAGCAAACCGATTTCTGTTATTAATATTTTTATGGCAATATGGTTCATGATATATTATCTTTACATATCATATATAATTAGTGTCAAATTTTAAAATGTAGTGTTTTTGTTCTTGTCTCTGGTTATTGTGATGTAAAGTTTGAACTCTGAATCTGCTTTAGACAATAATACAAAATTCTGACTGATTTGTCACTAACGCACGAAAAATATCATCTGCAGATTTATTCACCAGCTACTGTTGTCTCAAAAACTGCTTTTTTTTATCTGATTTGACCAAAATAACTTTTTTATAGTCATTATTTTCACTACCTGAAGTATCCTCCTGTCATATTAAATCAGACATCGTCACACATATTTTTACATGGTTGTATGTGGTCGTATTCTGAGTGCAGTTGGTTCAACTTTGAGATATCTTTTAACTTGTCATGGCAGGTAAGATATGAATCATTTATCGGAAGAAAATAAGTATTACTGGTTTGCATACGTACACTTTGTCACTGAGGTGTTCTTTTCCAGAATTGAGCAGTCTCTACATTGACGTGTGCAGAAAAATATTCACACACAGTACTATAAAATAAGTTTCAAGGCAAAACAAAAGCAGCCATTTAAACCCACATGATTTAAATATTTGAGAGAAGAAATCTGTTCCTGGAATATAAGAAATATACAGTAGTCCAAGTTATTGACTTGACTGACATATGAAGCAAAACCACTTAATCAGAACTAAAAAAAAACGTTTAACTTCAAGTCAGAGTAAATCTTTACTTAGCTGTAGATTTCCTCATCTTAACCACAAATAATTGTCGATAACAAAGGGTTCAAAAGCTTCTGTAGAATATTCTACAATTCTACAATTAATTTGGCAGACATCTCCAAAGTGACGTAGATTAGAGAGTAAGTAGGCCTACGACACAAGGATCTAGAAACGAGGAAACAAGGTCAGTAAGTGCAGCTTTGAAGTCTGATCGGACACAGATGCATTCATCAAGTTGCTTTTAATGTTTTACCATTCAGAAATATACTATATTATAGACAAGTCAATATGAAAGTGATTGACACAAGAACAGCTTGGACTTAATTTACTATAGTCCTACGCCACATAAAATTCAGAAGAACATACTGAAAGCCGAGGATAAAAGATGGAGCTATACCGTTCATTAAAGGGCCTATATGTAACTTTTAAAAATACTGCGTTTGTAGTGATACTGCATGGCTGTTAGGTGAACTGCACCAGTAACCTGTTGCTCGCTTGCATGCTCGTCATACGTACAGTCTATGGCTCGTACGTACACAAACAAGCATCATCATCGGCCGCGAAACACTGGCTATTTACCGGCATAATGTTTACAGAGGAGGTAAGTGGTCATACACATGTGAAAGTCTGTGAAGGAAGTCTGTGTGTCTGTATTTATTCTCCATCCTACAAACGACAGTCTCTGCAGGCACTGGCTGAGAGCAGGAGTGTGTGATGAGTTTGTCCGCCTTTGAGAGCTCCTAGGGCGGATAGAAGTGTGTGGAAAGTGGCCTCTGGCTGTGGAGGTGAAGACCGGGAGTGTGTGATGAGTTTCTACTGTTGATCTCTGTAAGCGGAGCGGAGTGAGGAGGACGTTGAGAACGTGCAGAAAATTGTCACTTCCTGGAGCTTTGGCGGAAAATACGACCAGGGCGAAGAATTGTATACAGGCAACACAGATAGACAGTGAACATCTACTTTTTCACATCAGCTAACCGTTCTCTTATTAATGGGCAATAAAAAACTATTTATACAATTAAAAAGTTACATATAGCCTCTTTAACATTATTTTATAACATCTATAATTCAATATTTTTATATTGATATGTTTTTGCTGCTTCACATTTTACATGTATGTGTTGGGCCCGGTTGGGCCTGTTTCCATTTGGCTTAGTTCATAAACGCCAGTTTCAGGGGGACGTATTCACAGTTCTATGGCCACAGAGGGCAGCAGTGAGCTCTTTATGGCTTGTTGCGCCTAAAACCCATTAAAAGAAGATACCGCTCTAGAAAGCAGTAGTTGCTAAGCAACACAAAGGTGAGATTTGTGGCTCATGGGACATATTAACAATCCATGTTCTTCAGTTTTACAAATGTTAAGACCACAAGGATACTTACCAGGGAACTAGGGAAATGTCCATCGTGTAAACTTCATCATATTCAATGAAGCACTAGTGCTAGCCAAAATTGCAAGGAAAAAAAACAACGTGCCTAGCCTAAACCAACCTAGCTAAGCTAACGTAAACCCGCAAATGCTTTTAACTTGTCCAGAATAAAGTAAGCTTACTTTGCCGCATTGTAATTGAGTCTTTACCAACAATGCTGCATTTAGTACCGTGTAAGCGTGTAGAACGTTTAAAAGCTATACTATGTTTTGACACGTTGTTTTTGACAGGATACCTCCCAATGAATCACACGAGGTGACACGAGACTGACTCAGCATAGCTTTATAACGAACTCCTCTCAAATAAAGGTTTGGACGGAGGTTTGTAAAATGTCTTTGTCTCCGAGATCAGTTCACAGCTCACTCTCCATTAACGTTATACAAAACTATATTCAATAGTACAAAGTGTTTAATGTGTTAGAACTACTATACAGTAGCACATTAAAGGGCGCAATAATTTCATCACAAAATAACTCCATTGGTAGGCCTATCTGTGTCAATACTCATAAAACCTTGCAGTAGTAGTGCAGTAGAATTGTATTCATTCTTGTAACATAAAAATAAACAAGAAGAAACGAACATAAAGAAACAAAAAAAACATTGTATTGGTTTTCCAGAAAACATAACAATAAAAAGTTTTAGTAATTATATGTTTACAACAAACAATAATCAAGATGCAGATGTGTGTCTTGATATAACACCTCCATTAAAGACTTAGAACACCTACACAGGTGTGGTAGACCTACACAGGGGATTTCTCTAGTTTTACTGATTAGATGTCATCTGGACTGTGCTGGGCTATACACAGACTGTAGCTGATGGATTTTTTTTCACACTAGATTTTTTAACATACAAAATTTAAGAAGTATTGGTAATAACAACTGATGGTTGCATTCCGTTCAATTTTCAATTAGCCTTGACATGGAGCGGGCATGAAAATACCCTGCTACAATATTAAATAATAGAGTTTAGCGTTAATAAATTTCCTTATCAACCCCTATTCTCTTCCGAACTGTGGTGTGACAAAATGTACCTACTTAGATGTAATGTGGGACATTTAAAATAGTTTAGATCTGATGAAATAATGATATGTCTATTTTGGTTTTTACCTTTTTTATTCAAATCACTGAATTCTATTTGAATTGTTTACTTTTGTTTATCTCAAAGTGCAAAGCTTTTACGTTAGGTAGAGGATGTTTGGTCTTCACCATAGACACTGATTGTGTTGTAGTGATCGATTTTGATTTTGTTAACATTTACAGCGAATAACACATTTTGCTCTGACTTTGCCACTCTTTTATACAACTCATTTGAATATCTGTGTTTTTGTATACATAGTTAGTTATGTGCTTAAATTGCTCCAATTCAGTGAGTCCCAACTGTGTGTGTGTGTGTGTGTGTGTGTGTGTGTGTGTGTGAGTGTGAGAAAGAGAGAGAGAGAGAAAGAGAGAGAGCAGGTTGTACTTTTACAACTCACCAGCTCTTATTACATGGCTGTGCGGTGTGTGCACTAATAGAACCAGGGCAAGTGTGTTGACCCCAGTCATGTCGGAAGTTCAGGAGTTGAGAGGGATTTTCTAAAGGGTTTCTTTGCAGAAGTGTTTGTCCATGAGTGTCTATTTCTTTGTACGTGTGTGTATGTGTGTGTTTGTGTAAGCTTTGCTGATTAGCACCAGATGTGCAGGGCTCAGGGTGTCAGCAATAGCTCGAGAGGGCCCCACTACTCCATTCGGCCCTAGTTGTAAAATTGCTAAAGCGACTTCTTCACACATGGCTGACATTAATATCTTCTCTGTTCATCCCCCAAATCCCCAAAAGGTTAGAAACATCAGGTCAGACTGAGCCAGAGACAGGTTTAATAAGGTAGACGTGCGGCAAAGTCTATTAGTTAAGTGTAGATTACTGGATGCGCCACCAGAGGGTGTGAGAGAGCTGTGAAAAATCTGCAGCGTCTCTAAACTGCGGCCCTGTCAGGTTTCACTATGATTGGTGAAGAGTTTTTGCAAGGATTATTCCAGTTTTCCAGTTCATCTAAAGCAAATAAACATTTTGTTTTTTGTTTTATTACTGTTGTAAAAATAGTTTTCTGATCATAAATAATTTCTCTTCACAGATTTAATCAACATAATTTCAGTTGTGATAGGTGTTGCAGTTTACTAAACTTAATATCTATTATATCTATTAATCTCTGTATTTTGTTAAACGAGCCATGCAACATTATCTTTTAAAATGCTAAAAAACGGGAATAAGTGTCCTCAAAAAGTTTCCCGAGCCCAAACAGATATTTTTAAAACGTATTACTTTGCCGAACATTCAGTAACAGAAGACATTACATTTTCCATCATGACAAAGAAATACAGCAAGCAGTCCTTACATCTGAGAATTTAGATTATTTTTTACATGATTAAATAATTACTATATCATTAAGATGAATGATTGACAGTTGACTGTAGGTTGACTAAATGGACTAGTAGTTCCAGTGCTAGTTATAATTACTTCCAAAAGTGTGCAGAAAATGAACATTGTTTTTAAGTGATTCAAGAATGGAGGCTGTGTAACAGATTATTTGAAAGATTATTTTGTAAAAATTAATATTTCAAAACTAATGTTGCATTTAGTAACAGCACTTTATTCATTTCAAGTAAAAACAACTCTGGCAAATGTACAGTTAGACATTTGTCTGAATACTTAAGTTTGTCACAAGTTTTTATTTCATGTCAGCCTGTCCATTTTAATGCCACTTTCTTTAACCCCCTCTCACCCTCACCTCCCAGGTCTTACCCCTCCCTCGCCTGTCTCTCTACCTTTTGTCCCTGTGTGAATATTTCACATTGCTGTTGCCGCTGGTGCGTGATGCTTGGGACTGAGTATTCATTGTGTGTTTGCCGTGTGGGTGCTGCGGTATGTGGTTCTCCGGCGTGTGGTGTGTCGTGACAGGCGTGTGGCCACTGACGCCAGCCGGCCGCCTGCCTGCCTGTCTGTCTATCTGTTCTGTTACACCTGACCGAATCTGACATTGCCATAACCACACATGCAAAATGTGTACACACACCAACATACTGTATTTACGAATATATATATTATATATAACCAGTTAAAACGATCCCTAAAAGTGAGAAGTAGAGTCATTGTATCCCTGCCACTGTGCTTGGCACACTTTGAGGTTTACATTGGGGTTTTGCT